ACAGTTGAGGGGTCTCACTCCCACTCTTGTCCTCTTTCAATGCAAGCCCCCACTAGGTAACCTATTTCTGCCTCTGTCTTGTGTATCCTTCAGTGTTTCTTTATGTAAATAGAAGCACAGATTCTCTCTCCCCTTTGTTCTCACACAAAATGAGGCATCTTAAACACCATACTGTATTGTACATTCTCTTTTGGGTGAAGATGCATCCAGGAGCTTTTTCCCTGGTAGTAGAAGGCGCTTCCTCATGCCCTTTTAAAAGCTGCATATAATCTGCTGTGGGTATTCATCCTCTGAGGGCCTGATGGGGACACTGGGTGTAAATAATGCTGCAAAGAATGATCTTATCCATGTAATCTTATAAATGTGTACTTTAGAAAACGTCCCAGAAAGGTAAAAGATGAATGTATCTGTCCTTCAGAGACTCCTAAATCCTTACCTTCTCACTCATTCCACTTGTCACCAGCACAGTGTTACATCTAGATTACTGGATAGCTTCCCTTCCGGTTATCATTGCTAGCTTAGCCTTTCCAAAAGCACACTTTGATGTATTCATCTACCTGCTGGAAAACCTCCAGTCATTCTCCTTGCCTACCACATAAATCACAAACTCCTTAGCCTGTATATAAAACACACCATGGCCTGCCAACGTACCCTCCTTTCCGGATTCATCCTAAAAGTCCTGCCCATGTCTAGACAGCCTGCCCCCTGCTTTCCAGATACATGTTATGATCTTATTCCTTCCAGGTCTTGTTCTTCACCAGAAACGCCCGCCCCTTCTGTCTACCCAAACTCTGCTCATTCTTTAAGGGCCTTCTCGAATGGCATACCCCCCTGAGTCTATTACTCACCATCTCAGCCAGAAATGATTCCACCCAACTTCCCCTGAAGCCCTGTATTTTTTTTTTAAGCCCTGTATTTAAATCAATTACATGGCATTCACCTTATGGTGCCTTCTGTCACAACTACGTCTGCGTGCAGCTCACCTTTCACACGAGGTTGTGACTTCTTTGAAGGCAAAGACTGCCTCCTGGACCTTGTATTTCCCAAAGTTCTCTTTATGATATTTCAAATATATAAGTCCTGCAGTAAATACTCACTGGAAGACTGTTTATTGAGAGAAATCCGCCTTTTGGCTTGACCTCCACCCCCTGGTGCTGGAAAAGGCTCATAGGGAAATGAGGCAAGGAGGTTTGATGGCTATAAAACACACACACATGCAGCGAGGCATGAACACGCACAGATGCATACATTCCGCCTACACAGAAGGCTGGCTCATGAATTCTGCCCATTTTGAAGCAATTGAGGATTAATAACATCAGAACTAAGTGGAGCTTGGCAAGCACTTCATCCCTCTTGATGGTCTGTGATTTTTCAAAGCTTTGGTTGTTTTATTCCATGGACCACAGACTTTAAAGAAGTTACAGTGAAGGGACTGGGAAAGTCCTATAACTGAAATAAGAGGTTGTTTTCAAGAAAAGGTCATCAGCATAGTCTATTCTGGAAAAACTCTAGGTTAGGTTTCAGAAAGTCTGGTTTCCAGACTGGACACTGTTCTATTGTGTAGCACCTTACCTAATCAGGATGTTGTTTTTCCCATCTAGAAAAAACAAACACATCTTCCTATAAAAGGAAAACTTGTTTTCCCCTCCACCATGCCACCCCAAATGTGGTTCTCCATTCACGCGACAGGAAGAACTGAGAATCAGAGAAAAAAGGATGGTATTCTCACCATCTTCTGTGTTATTACCGTTCACCTATCTTGACTCAACTTGGAATCTAATTGGAAAAGTAAAACCCAGAGTCCATGTGTGACTGTTCATGGAACAAGCTGATTTCAGAAGATGAGGACCAACTTCTTCCCACAGACCCACCTGATAATCTCTCCCAACACCAGGAGGCAGCCTCGGACCCGGCCCAGGTTCAGGCAGATGTCCCCCTAAATACTGGTGGTGCCCTCCGCTCCAGTTCAAGCTGCCATCACTGCAAGGCTCAAGTTCAGCAAAAATCTCGTAGATAGCCTCGCTGAATGTGGGTCTACTAATCACAGGCCCTTGCCAAACCCAGGGCCTGTGATTAGCCAACTGCCAAATCCATGGGTCTCTTTGGCCTTCACATCCTCCTATCTCTGTGGGTCCTGAAACTGCTGGAATCACACTGCACTTCTTTCTGAAACCCTTTCTCTCCCCTTGGCTTCCCTGACCTGGCCCCTCCTGATCCTTTGCTGGCTCTGCTTCCACAGCCTTCCTGATGCTCTCCTCCCATCTTCTCTCCTCTGCCCTCTTTCCCTCTCTTTATGCTTTTTCTGATTAAGCTCACCCACTCTTAGGGCCTCATCCTGCCCCTGTGTGTTAATCCCTCCCTAACTGACATCCTTCCCGAGTGCTGGCTCTACTCTTCAGTTGTCTACTCAACATTTCATCATGATGTTCCATGGCTACCTGACACCGGGTACGATCCAGCCTGTTTGAAACCAAACTCAGGAGCTTCTCCTCCCTTTCCCCATCAGCCGGGTCTTCCTCTTTAGCTCCCTATTTCAGCGACCCTGAAAACCAGGTCATGCACTATTCAACTCAGCTCTTCCCTCAGCTCCCCATCCCATATGTAACTGCCCACTAATGTCACCACTTCTGCATGTCGTTTCTTCTACATTCCAACTGCCATGGCCACTACCTACAGCGACTCTTGTCTGGGCTGCATCATGGCCTAACTGCTCTGCACCCTACTTTTTCTATTGGTCCAACTTACCCCCCAGAGTCTTTCATTTCACAACATAAGCTTGATTATGTCACCACCTCACTCAAAATCTTTTAATAAATCCCTAAATTCCCTGATACCTGGGCCCAAATTAACCTTCCAGTCCCATTACCAGGCAAGACCCGTCTGTCCCCAGGTATCTTCTGTTCTACACTAACCTCTTGGGTCCAGAGAGAAACCACAGTGTTCTGTGTAAGGAGTTTCAAAGAGAATAAAACCCCCTCTCACCTCCCACTCCTCAGATCAACACATATGGAGGGCCAACTCTGTGTTCTCTACTGCTCCCCTTGAAATCTACATGGTAAACCTGTTTTCCTTCGAAGACAAGACAAATGTCACCTTCTCTCTGCAGCCTTCCCCAACCAGTGGCAGAACCCCTGATCTGCTTCATTTGTGTCCCCAGAACTGTGTTCCTGTCTCCCGAGGGCAGGGACCAGCAGTACGCATTCATGTGTCGCTAGGGCCTAGCACACTGCCACCAGACTTCTCACAGGAGCTCTCAAGCCTTAAAATGGCACAAAGCTAAATTTGATTCTTATCGTGAGGGCAGCAAGTTTAGGAGGAGATGAGCCTGAATGAAAGAGAGAAATTGCAAATGAAGAATCATGTGGGTCCACCAGAAGATTTCCTTTTGCTGAAGGCTTTCCTGATGTCCCTTAAATCTCACAGACAAGTGGTTGCTTGTTCTGCCAGAAGTGAGGACCCCCTCCTCTCCTTAGCCCTCGCAGCCTTCTCTCAGAACACAAAAGATGTGTTCTTAAGGCCGGCAAGAGCCTCACTGTGACCTCACTGTGGCCTCATTGTGACCCACTGCTTATGCCCAATGTCAACCACTCACGGGCTTGCCGCATTCACAGCCAAATGGATCTGAAGTTTCATTGAAAACATGAGCTCAAGGGGGCCCAAAAAGCCCTAAGAAGGAACACGTGTTCTGAGCTTAACGGAATTATTTATGGAGGCTAATAATAAATTGAATTCTATTTTAACCTTTTCAAAAGCTCTGATTTCTGATAGCTAGGCTCCTTATGGTCCAGGTATTTTGGTTCCCTTCCCCTGTAGCCCTCAAACTAACTTCTCAAGCCCTTAAACCACTTACTTGTTACCTAAGCCAGGCCCCACCTGAAGACTCAGGTCCACGGGGAACTTGGCTCAGTTCTACGAAGCAATAACATCTGCTGATCCAGACTGTATACCGGAGACTGTATTAGGTTCTAGGAAGACCTAGTCCCTGCTCTCAGGGAGCCTCTGTTTCAGAGACAGAGGTATTTGAACAAAGCACATGTGAGTTTGTACAGAGACCCCTGGTAGAAGTCCAGGCAGTCCGTGCAGGACACAGCTGGTGACGGGGCACAAAGTCCTGGGCTGACCATGTCCTTGGTTCCAGGGACATGTGTCTCAATCAGTCTGAACAAATATTTACTGAACCTCTACTGCACAGTTCCTGCCCTCATGGATCTTACATTTTGAGTTTCAGTTTTTTTTTCTGATTTTATTTTATTTCAGAGAGAGAGAGAGAGAGAGAGCAGGGTTGGGGTTAGGGGTGGGGATGGAGGGGCAGAGGGGGAAGCAGACTCCCCACCAAGTAGGGAGCCCGATGCGAGACTCGACCCCAGGACCCTGGGATCAGACCTGAGCCAAAGGCAGACACTTCACCAGTGAGCCACCGAAGTGCCCCAGGATTTCAGTTTTAGCAAATGCATCTCTATCTTGTTCTTCTGTACAGAGTACGTTCCAGAAGCAGCATTTCTCTAGAATGAGGGCTCTGTCGTTTCCTCAGCTAGACCTTCTAGGAACTTGAATTCCGCCCACAGAATTCAGGTCCTATTACTGGGACTCACCCTGATGCTGAATGTACATCGCTGCCTGTCCTTCCCCTGTGGACCTGTAGCTGGAACTTGTGATATTGTCCTTTGCCCACTGTGCCTTAGTGCCCTCATCTGTAAACTATGGATAACAATAGTATCTCTCTCCAAGGGATATTATGGGGACTAAATGAGACAAGCTTAGCACATGCTAAGTACTCAATGAATCAACTATCATCATTATCTTGATTTCTAAGATGCCTGCCACACTGCCTGTCTCATCCGTGGAGTTTCCCACCTCTTGGTGAGGTGGGTGAGGTGTGAGTTGGGGGCAGGAAGGGACCGCCCTCAGGCATCCCCACCCCCACCACTGCCATGCTTGTGGGTTGGCTTAGATTGGCTCGCATGGGCTGGCCCACCCAGACCCAGTCGGGGACCAGGTACCTCTCAGTGTCAGGTAGCCATAGGCTAGGCTGGCCAAAGCCTGCGCACACTTCCAGTGTTCTTCCCCAAAAATAATCCGAGAAAGGATGACACAACGAATCAGCTCCTTATTTGCTTGGGTATTCTGCAGAGAGCAAAGAAGCATTATACTTTTTGGAAAGGAGGAAAGCTCCATCCAGCCCATACTCTTCTCACGGGAATGTAGGACTGAATTCTCCCGCTGTCTTTTTCTCTTTTCTTCCCTTCCCTTCCTGTCCCACTACCAACCCAGCAAGATTTGTTGGCTGTCCTTTCTTCGTAAGTCCTTGAACTAAGCTCTTCTCACTTCTGCCCTGAGTACCTGGTTCAAGCCACCCTCATCTTTCACCTGGCTGAACACAACAGCCACTCCTAACTGCTTCCACTCTTGCCTCCCTTCCCCCAGTCTACTCTCAACATCATAACCAGAGTGACTTCTTTTAACCTTGTATCGTGAAAAACTTTAGCAATATACAAAAATAGCACTGAGAAGGGCTCACTTCGTTTCATGAGGTATCTGCTCATGGTCAATCTTGTTTCCTATCTATCCTCCTCATCCACCCAACCTATTATTTTGAAGAAAATCAGGTATTAAATCATTTCATATTTCATAAGTATCTCCTAAAGATCTGGAATTAGATAATCAGAAAAACACTCTCACCAAAACATTAACAATAATTCTGTAATGTTAAATATCTAGTCTCATAAATCTAATAATTACCTCATAAATCTAATATTTTTAAAGATTTTATTTATTTATTTGACAGAGAGAGAGAGCACAAGCAAGGAGGAGCAGGAGAGGCAGACTCCCCATTGAGCAGGGAGACTGATTCAGGGCTTGGGGATCATGACCTGAGCTAAAGGAAGCTGCTTAACCAACTGGGCCACCCAGGTGCCCCATAAATCTAATTTTTTCTTTACAGTCTTCCTGTCCATACACTGAGATCAGTCTTCTGAGTCTCTTTTCACTTATAGGTTCTGTTCCCATGTCTATCTAGTTCCTTTTATTGCAAATTATTTGTGAAGAAATTGGGTCTTTTGGATTCCAGTGTTTCCCAAACATGTACATTTTGTTTATTGCATTCTTATGGTGTCATTCAACATGTCCCTCCAATCTCTGTACTGCTTTTACATTGGGAGCTGGATTTAGAAATTGGGCTAACTTTAGTTCTGTTCTGGTTTTTTTTTTTTTTAGCCTGCTTCATGGGTTTGCATATGTTCTTCCACCAGAAGATACCTAATGTCTGACTGTCTCTTTTTCTGATTATTGACACTACTACATGGATTCGTTCATAAAAGTTTATAAAATGCTGATAGCCTCTTTCTATCATTGTTCCTTCGTGTGTTAGCTGGCATAATTCTATAACGAAAACTCTCCCCTCATCTACTTTTTGGTTACCCAGTAGTACAGTTTGTAACAGGAGGACAAGATACACGACTTATTTTCTTTCTATTTGCTAGCTTTCAAAATAATGAGTGCAGTCACTTGCATCCTCCAGTGGTGACCAAATAGCCTGTTTTTATTATTATTATAAACATGGGTTTTAAAACAGACCAGATATTCCTGAACAGTGCAAACTAATTTGACTCGGCCTTTGCACCTATTTCCCATCTTGGGACGCTCGAACACGTCATTCACTCTCTCGTTTCATCATTTTGTTCACTTCAGAGAGGTCTTTCTTGGCATCTTATCGAAAATAGTCTTGTACCCCATCACTTACTATCCCATTCCCTATTTTATTTTTTTCTTCCTGGCACTTACCTCTCTCTGATACTGCACTGTTATATTTTGTTTGTCTATTATGTCTCCCCATATAGAAGTTCCCTGAGAACAGAAGTTCATTCCTCATGTTCACTACTGTTTTCCTAGTGCACAGAGGATGTACTCATTCCATACCTGCTGAATGAATCATCTCTCTATTGGCTAGGATAAGGACGGGGTGGAGAAGAGCTCCCTGCTGCCCTAGGGCTCATAGGCAGAGTTCTCTAAGAGATCACAGAATTGTGTCTTCAAGTTATAGATTTCATTGACTTGACAAGACATATCAATTGGCTGCACAAATTGATAAAAATCAAGCACTGACTTTCTAGTAAGGTGAAACTAGCACTTCAAAGCCTCAAAAGCTTGGAGTTTGGGCTCTGGTTCTAATGTTTATGGACTGCAGTGCTTTGGGTAAGATCACCCTGAGTTCTGGCTTCCTTTTCTCTTTGGAAACCCATACCATCCACCTCAGGGAGTGATTGGTAGGAAAATGAGTCATCATCAAAGGGGTCCAAATGTGTTAAGTGCTATCTAAGTGTGACCCTACAGGGTCGTAAACAGATACAGCGTTGGAAGACTGCTCCCCTGTCTCCTTCCTAACCTGCCACTTCACCTGCTCCCAGCTCATAGGCACACATGCAGTGTTACAGGGCATTCCCTCAATGCTTTGCAAATGCCCATTCTGTCAGAAGTGCTGAGTGTTCTCCATGGGCTAACCACCAAATTTACTAAGTTTCACTTGAAGAAGAAACATACTACCATGAAAAATCCCTGGAATGGGAGTACAAAGGCTTAAGTTCTGTCCTGGCTCTAGACATCCTGTATTTACCCATCCTCAAGCTTCCTGCTCTGGTGAAACTGAGAAAACCAATATGGACTCTAGAAGTCTCCTGCTATTTCCAATCCTCCTGCCCTTCAGGTCTGTGAGCACTAGGCTAGGCTAGATTTAACTCCTAAGTCTAAATCTTTGTCATTATCCAAACTGGCCAAGAGGTTGTCATGCCTTAAAAACTCACACTTGTACTCTATGACAGATGGTACTTGTCTGTTTCTAAAAGCAAAGGTTCTAGCCTGGGTCTGTTAAATGCTAATGGGTACAGGCCGAGATGCCTGTCCTGTTTTGCAAGTCCTCTGGATAATTTACAGAGGTAAATTTGTAGATATATTCAACTAGGCGTATCAGCTTCTATCACCTGCCTGTGAGGTATCTCTCGGCCTTTCCTAAAGCCATCTACAGACCTTTTCTCCACACGTGATTTTAAGCCCATGTTTCCCGTGGCTAGGGGTGGCCAGGAAGTCAGTGGATGAATTCCTTAGTTGATAAATCATGCTCCAGGAGCATGCCAGTGCCTGCATTCTAATAACGGAGGTCACTATCATCTTGTCTCGGGTTCCTGGATTTTGCACATTCTATTAATAACACTTGCTCTGACTAGTTATCAAGTCTTTGCCTCACTCTGAAAAATGCACACCTAGACTCTGACCTCTGCTGCTACCTCCCGTTTCTGGTGCTTTAGTCTGCTCATGAGTCCACTGAACTGGCATCTGAGCCACGACCTCAGCCTGGCTACCTTTGTTCTCAGTCTCCTGCCTCTTATCCTGGCCTCTTGTTACCCATGAGATATCATTCTGAAACCTTTCAGGAGAAATAAAAAAGCAGGTTTTTAATTAAAGGTAATCAAACATCAACACAAAGAATGAAATGTTCACTTTCCATTTAAAGCTAGGAGTGCAAATACTCCATGGAAGAATGCACAGTGACCCAGGTTTGGAACCTCAAGGCAAGGTTGCTACCTGACCATGCTCTGCTTTGTTTTCTTCCACTTGTAAAAAAAATAGAACAACTTCCTCTGCCTCGAGTGCTTCAGTATCCCATGAAGGCAGAGCTTCTGTAATCACGGACATATTTTTACAGGGAAACTAAAACCTAGTGAGCTTTTTGTTTTACCATTTTTTTCTTAATAAGCTGAGTTATCTTCTTCTGGGAATGGGCCAATTTCTCTTTAGGAAGAGCCATGTAGCCTACGGCCTTTTCCTCCTTGGCTTTGATGTCTTCTTCACTCTCTCCAGACCCACTAGAGTAATACAACTCATCCCTTTTCTGGTATGCTGGGATCTTGGCTTGCTGTGACCTGTAAATACCAGAGAGGGGCATGGATTCAGATGTGACCTATGCATATCTCAAACCAACTAAAATTGAAGGACAGAGTGCTTCCAATGGGGGGTAGGAATATGCACTTTAATATAAACTTGAAGGAATAAAGTCTGGGGGATAAGCTCATGTCACCCTTGAAGCCCAGAATCAAGACAGCAATGTGGTGATTCAAATGAAAGAGATTTGGTAAACTACCCACCTGTATCAGAGTCCTAGCTCTGCTACTTACTAACCATATGATCCTAAGCAAGTTATTAATTTGCTTCTCTGTAAAATGAGGTCAATCAGATGAGTTGACTAGATTAAATCAGATAATACTTATCAATCTTAGCATGGTGATTACCTGCTATTTAGTAAGTACTATTTTAATATAAGTTATTATTATTTTATTAGCTCCATGACTTGGTTTCTTCAACAACAAAATGAAGGTGTTGAATTGGAAGATTTCAAAGATCTTTTATATTCTAAAATTCTGATTCAAACCAGGAAAGATATAATGAAATAATGGGAAGGGAATAACAGTTTGAATCTAGACTTCACTGTTCTCTTTCATGTTTCTGTTTTAAAAATGTTTTTAAAGATTTAGTTATTAAAAAAAAAGATTATTTAGTTATTTATTTATTCATGAGAGCAACAGAGAGAGAGGCAGAGAAGCAGGCAGAGGGAGAAGCAGGCTTCCTGCAGGGAGTCCTAAGTGGGATTCGAGCCCAGAACCCCAGGATCATGCCCTGAGCCAAAGGCAGATGCTCAACCACTGAACCACCCAGGCATCCCCTTCATTCATATTTCTTAAAGGTAGTGGCCAACTAACTAAAGAGGATGAGGCCCCACCAAGGAGAAGGGAGGGAACCCTACACAGTCAAGAGCAGATGCAGAAGCAAAATGACCTTCTCAGTTGTATTACAAATAAATGTGTTGAAAAGAGCTGAATGGGTTGAAAATCTGCCCTCTCTCTCCTCACTTCTCTCCTTCCCACCCTCCCTTTCTCCCTCCTGCCTGCCTCCTCTCTCACATGCAAAATGTAATCTGTCATCAATGCTGAACATAATTATGAATGAGTAATTGGAAATGGTAAAGATAAAAGTCAAAGGAGTTAATCTTACACAAAAAAGAAAAACCACATCTTAACATCACTAGAAAAATCAAAGTGATCCAGAAAAAAACAGAATTCTGAAATCTTAATAGCAACAACAGAATGTTTAATTATAAACAAGTCCCCCAAAGGAGTCACCTTTGCATATACAATAGCTTTTAAAAGTTCAATGACTACATAGTTTTAAGAATAAAATTTATCTTTTTTCCACTGATTAGATAAGTAATGTTTACTGTAAAGAGAGAGAGAGAAAGAAAAGAAAAGGAAAAGAAAAGAAGAGAAGAAGAAAAGAAAGAAAGAAAGAAAGAAAGATAGATAGATGTCAAGTATAATCTTTTACACTAGGTTTGAAAAACACCATGTTAATATCCATCCAGATTTCCTGTTCTAAATAATCCACCCAGGGGCACACAGAATGAACCAGGCCACATGGACAGGAGAGCAACATTTCTTCTGGCCCAGGCCCTGGCAAAATCACTTTCTGCCCACAAACAAAAGTGAGCTTTTGTTTCCACATTGCCAACCCAGTGGAAAAGCCAGAGAACATGGCTGATGCAAGGTGATCAGAAGGTAGGTGCTAAGCTTGCCTCCTCTCTGCCTGGGTGAATTCCATGCTCCTCCTTCAAGACCCAATTAAGATGTCACCTCTGCTGGAGTCTTGCACTAGAGTAGCAAGTAGAGACAGCCTTTAAACGGCTTGCAAAAATTTCCTCCAAACTTCTACTGTGGTGTGAAACACACTATAGTCTCATTTTCAAAATCTGTCTGTTTTGTTTCCGAGTTGTCTTTGCCTTCTAGCAAATATACACCAGGCACAGGGCTGAATCTCATTTGTTTCTGAAACCCTGATACTTGGCTTACAGTAAAGACAAATAACGGCTTGTTAAATGATGCACAAATGAATGAAACAAGAAAACATGGCCTTTAGTATACCTGAAAAATACTGAAGATGGAGGGAATCTGTGGCAGAAGATCGTAAGTCAAGAAACGAACAGAAAATTTAGTCCCTCAATAGAAGATTTTGCTTAGGCTGCACATTGCACAGACCTGGAGCTTAAGTTCAATCTATCGAGATTGCCAAAGAGATTGCCAATTATGGATCTTAAAAATTAGAAGTCCTAAATATTTTAAGTGCAGCCTTCCATAAAATTAAGCTGACACCAAAGGTAGCAAGCTTCAACAGAAAGCACCTTAAAGGAAGGAGAAATGGGGATCCCTGGGTGGCGCAGCGGTTTGGCGCCTGCCTTTGGCCCGGGGCGCGATCCTGGAGACCCGGGATCAAGTCCCACATCGGGCTCCCGGTGCATGGAGCCTGCTTCTCCCTCTGCCTGTGTCTCTGCCTCTCTCTCTCTCTCTCTCTCTGTGACTATCATAAATAAATAAAAATTAAAAAAAACTAAAAAAAAAAGGAAGGAGAAATGTTGAGATTTTGACAAATGACTTGAGAATGCAAAGCCCTAACCTAGCTTTGCATCTAAACATCTTCAATAAGAAAGAGGAATGGAGAATAATGACCAGTCAGATATCTTGAAAGATAAAATAACAGAATAAAAAGAATACGCAGGTTGAATGAAAGGTCTGTCTTGCCAGGTTTATGACTTATTCTATATGTTGCCATCATAGATATGAATTCAGACTAGTAATAATAAATATGAATTATCTGATTACTTCCAGGATACTTTACTGTAAACTCTACATCTTAACTTCAATTTTTATACTTATATAGTCCTTAACCTCAGGATATTTTATGAAGTGGTACAAAATTAGTAAGATGTTAGTAAACACTCGTCACATAGTGGCTATTAAGCACATGAAACGTGGCTAATCTGAATTGAGATGTGCTGTAAGTATAAAATACACACTGAATTTCAAAGACTTAGTATGAAGAAAAAATATAAAATATTTCATGAGTTATTTTATAAAATACTCCTACATAAAGATACAGTATTAAAATTCAGTTTACCTATTTCCTTTTTATATTTTAACATGACTACTGAAAAACTTTAAATTACACATGTGGCTGGCATTTGTGACTTGTGTTATATTTCTATTTGGCAGCACTGGTATAAAGCAACGGTTCTCAACCAAGGGTGACATTGCCCCAAGGGGATATTTGACAATGTCTGGAGACACTGTGGTTTGTCATTACTGGGACAGTGCTACTGGCATCTCCTGGGTAGAGACCAGGAATGCTTCTAAACAACCCACAATGCATAGGTCAGGCTTCCACAACAAAGAGTTATCCAACCTAAAATGTCAATAGTGCCAAAGTTGGGAACCCCTAGTATAGAAAAATGGTTAGAGAACTGACTCTGCAATCCAGCTGCCAAATCTGAATCACAGCTGTATAATTTGGGGCCAATTACCTAACCTTTTTTGGACTCACACTCCTTAGCTATAAAATTATAATAGTTTAATAGTATACCCAGTACAGAGACCTTGGGGCAATGAGATGACTTAATACATGTAAATAAGTACTTAGAACAGTGCCTAGCACATAATATTTGCTCAGTAAGTATGAGCTATTATGATGTAAAAGTTTTAATTTACTTATCGTCTATTTCATAAGACAATTTTAATTTGCTCACTGTTATATTTAATTCTCTTTGACTATATCAATCTTGTGATAACTAGCCTATCTATAAAAAATAAAATTTCCCTTCAGTTAGGAAAAACCAATTATTTTCCTTCTTACATAGGTTGCACAAGTACAAGTGGATCATATAGCAGAACTGTTATTAAAACACACCACAGGGACACCTGTGTGGCTCAACGGTTGAGTGTCTGCCTTCAGCTCAGGGCATGATCCTGGAGTCCCAGGATCGAGTCCCACGTCGGGCTCCCTGCACAGAGCCTGCTTCTCCCTCTGCCTGTGTCTCTACCTCTCTTTCTGTGTCTTTCATGAATAAATAAATAAAATCTTAAAAAAAAAACACATCACAGAAGTTCAATCTTCTCTTCTATATAATATGCACGCAAAGCTCAGCACCCCAGGTTTGCCTTAAGTGGGAGGTCCCAGTGTTCCAGGCCAGTGAGTGTGATGTCAAGGTTCTGTGGTACTTACAGGTGGAAGCAGAAGTCCCAATCCGTGTCATTGCTGACAGTTGGAATACAGATGGGGCTAGCCTGCATCTTCTTCCTACCAAGAATCACAAGTCAGGTTAGCTTTGGGGGTAAAAAAAAAAAAAAAAAAAAAAAAGAAAAAGAAAAAGAAAAAGACTTAGAAGTGTACTCTATTTTCCCTGTTGGATGCTATACTGAAACTGCCCAGATACATAACCCACCTGAAATCCACAAATCCAATATGCACACTAATGTATAGAGATACCTGTAAAGCAGAAACTAATGGCATTTGCCAAATTAAACCTCTGAATTAAATCTTTCCCCTAATTCCCACTCCATAGTACCTCCAAAATCCCTGATTTTTTTTTTTTACCTCCCTAAAGCCAGTATATTTACAGCTCCTGAATCATCAAAACTAGGTTCTCTTACTCAAGTCAGATACTGTTTTTGCCAGATGGAGCCAAGCAAAGCAACCAGTTTTAAGCGTTAAATGAGTATGGCCAATGCACTGGTTAACTCTCCTTGCCCCTAGGGCTAGCCCGCTAATAGGAAGGCCCCAGTCAAGGAACACACACGCGTCCGCTTGGGTATTGTCCTTAGTTGATGGGGGAAACGGCTGAAACCTCATGACAAAAATCTGATTTATAATTATCTGTGAAATTCAATTCTCATGGCTCTCCCTGTTGCCTAGATCAAATGGGAATCGAGGGCAGCCCCGGTGGCTCAGCGGTTAGCGCCGCCCGCAGCCCAGGGCGTGACCCTGGAGACCCGGGATCGGGATCGAGTCCCGCGTCGGGCTCCCGCAGGAGCCTGCTTCTCCCTCCGCCTGTGTCTCTGCTTCTCTGTGTCTCTCATTAATAAATAAAATCTTAAAAAAAAAAAAAGAAAAAATCAAATCGGAATCGAAAGCCGCTCCTCATCTCACCCTGCAGAATGTCACTCATTCCCCCCTGAGGAGCCTGAACATCCACAGTCCAAACACCAGAAAGAGCTTAATTTCGCTTTCTAATCTCTGCTTCCAACACCATAGCCCCGAGGGCGGGGGGAGGAGCTTTGAGTTCTCAGACTCCGAAACTGCGCTCCAGGAGGTTCCACAAGGCCCCACCGGAGCCTCGGAGGCCGCCTCCCCGCGGGTGCGGGGGCTGCCGCCGCCACGGCGGCCTGGGCCCACCTGGAGGCGGCGGCGGGGGCGGGGCCGCGCACCTGGGGGGGGCGGGGAAGCCACGCCCGGAACGAGCCTGGCCGCTCCCTCAGCCCGCGAGCTCCGCTCCCTCCGACCGCGTCGGCGTCGGCGCACCCGCCTCAGGGCGCCTCACGGATGCCCGGCGGAAGCGAGGCCCTCGGCTCGGTCGGCCGGCGCGGCGCGCGCGAAGCCCGGGTTCCGGCGCGGGGACGCCGGGGTTGCCACGGGAACGGAACGCGGCCGACCGTGCCGCGAGCGGCGTCGGCGTCGGTCGCCATGGCGACGCGGGGCACTTCCGGCGCCGAAAGCCCGCGGCCGCTGCGCGGGAGCTCCTCCCGGTCCCGGACCCTGGGCTTTCCCGTCTCCGCCGGTGCTGCTGCCGCTTCGTCACCTGCTTCTTTTTTGTTTGTTTAAAGATTTTATTTATTTATTCATGAGAGATTCACAGAGAGAGAGAGAGAGAGAGAGGCAGAGGGAGAAGCAGGCTCCGTGCAAGGAGCCTGACATGGGACTCGATCCGGGGTCTCCAGGGTCACATCCTGGGCTGAAGGCGACGCTGAACCGCTGAGCCAGCCGGGCTGCCCTTCGTCACCTGTAGTTTCTCTGAAAGGGACTCTAGCTCCCCGGCGTGACGGGAAGCCCCGTCGCCGGCTGGGAGGGAGCAGCCGCCGTTCCGGCTGTCGGGGCGCTCTCCCGGCCCCCGAGGAAGGGCTCAGGTGTGACTGTGCCGCCCGTCCCGGTAGGTTTGAGCTGCGCTTGATCACGAACGCCGAGCGCAGGGAGGGAGTAGTTTAAGGAATGGGCCGGCAGTTCTGCTCCCGACGCTGCCTTGGAGAGGTGGGGCGGGCGCCGCGTCGCCCCCACTCACGCAGCAGGTATTCTGGTGCCGCTCCTCTTCAGGGGCCCGGAACACACGCGGGTAAGGGTGATTCAGACCCGACAGGTGCAGGGGCAGCTGGGGCCAGCTGGGGGTAAGGGTGTCATCACGAGCCCGACAATGAGCCAGGGGCCTAGGACAAGTCAAGTTGATGCTATGTCCTTGTTTTCTTTTCTTTTCTTTTCTTTTTTTAAAGATTTTGTTTATTCATGATAGAGAGAGAGAGAGAGAGGCAGACACAGGCAAGAGGGAGAAGCAGGCCCCACGCAGAGAGCCCGACGCGGGACTGGATTCCCGGTCTCCAGGGTCAGGCCCTGGGGTGAAGGCAGGCGCTAAACCGCTGGGCCACCCGGGGATCCCCCGTGGCCTTGTTTTCAACACACAGACGCACACGCACCACCACCACCATCACCACCAAAACAGACTTGGTAGAGAGAGAAGGAAAATATTTACCAAGAACTTGAAAGGTGGTATTTGCATTTGGTGTTTGTTCTTTCCAGTTCCAGGTTGAAGTTTAATTGCTGTTGACCCAAGACTGCCAAGATAGCCTTTCCTGCAGTTAGGCTGGAGGAGCTATATAAATGAATTTGCTTAAATATCTCTGAGGTAAAACCTGGACACCCTTTTAGGGTTTAAATCCATACCCGTAAAGTCGTGAGCCAAAATTTTAGAAAGATCCCACCCCCTTTATACTCTTTCCTAGCAGAACAAGGATGAGAGCAATGAACTCCGCCTCAAGGTTCAGGGCTCTAGTTTGGACTGTCGTGTGGCCTGGGGCAAATCACAGCCCCTGGGTCTCAGTTTTCTTACCCTTACAATGAGGATATTTGTGACCACTGGCTTTCTAAAACCACTCCCAGTCCCCAGGATTCTTTGATGGCAAGCTGCAGAGTTTTGTGACTCTTTGAACAATATTTAACACAAAGGGGGGAGAAGAAAGATCTAGTTTTCTGTTCTCTAACACTGATTTCCCTTACCCTTGTTAAGTTGGTCTTCATCAAGTTGAAAAGTTTTATAATGTTTTCGTTCTAGGAGTTGACTCTAAGTAGATGAAATGTAACTTCTCTTTCTTGAACTCTGTTTCCTGCCCATCATTGTGAAGTGAGGTATCAGAACAGGCACTGAATTCCCATTCTAAAAATGATAGTCTGGTTCTACTTCCATTTAATTAGCTTTGACCAAAAGCCATGCACCTGTAAAATCAGAAGTCAAATTAAAAACAAAAAATGGGGCAGCCCAGGTGGCTCAGCAGTTTAGCACCTGCCTTCAGCCCAGGGCGTGATCCTGGAGACTCGGGATCGAGTCCCACGTCGGGCTCCCTGCATGGAGCCTGCTTTTCCCTCGGCCTGTGTTTCTGCCTCTCTCTCTCTCAATCCCTCTCTCTCTCTGTCTCTCATGAATAAAATCTTTTTAATTTTTTTTTTAAATGTTAAACTCTCAGAGTTCCAAAACTGTGTGCTGTTTTTTTCTTTCTTTGCCATCTTCACCCTGTCCCCAAATATAAACCTTAGTTACATCTTGACACTCACAATCACATTGGTACTCTCTGTGAGTTTCTTGCACTCCCCATGCATTTGTCCATCCAACCAGAAGAAAAATACATATTGAGGAATATCTGCTATGTGCCCAATACTGTTTTAAGCATTAAGGAAGCAGTAGTGAGAAAATAGACAACGTTTGCTCTTCTGGAGCTTCTATTCTACTAGAATAAGAAAAACAGGGCTATTAGTAAATAGTCTGATGTCTCTGCAAGTTAGAAAAAGTCACAGGGCCAGGGAAATAGGCAACAACTTTGTGTGAATTAGAAAAGGAAAAAATAAAGAAGCTTCTTCCTCCAGCCAGACTCAGGCCCCTCCTAAGCAGTAAAGCTTTGGGAACAGAGGTTGGACTGGATTTTAGGACTCCTCTCCTCCCTCAGCTGGGTGAACCACCTTACATGGAAGTGACAAATTATATGGGGAAAAATACAGCCAGATAAAGGATCTAGAAAGTGATGTGGACATGTAGGGTATGTTAGTTTATATAGTGTGGTTGAGGAGGGCCTCTCTGACAAGGTCATTGAGCAGAAGAAATAAAGGAGCCATCAAACAAACGTCAAGTTGAAGAGCATTATAAGATAACAGCAAGTACAAAGGCCCTGAGACAGGAGCAAGTTTGATGGGTTCAAGGAAGAGCAAAAGGGCAAGAATGAGAAGGAGGGGGCATCTGGGTGGCTCAGTGGTTGAGCATCTGGCTTCTGCTCAGGGCATGATCCTGGGGTCCTGGGATCGAGTCCCACATCAGGGGAGCCTGTTTCTCCCTCTGCTTATGGCTCTGCCTCTCTTTCTGGGTCACTCATGAATAAATCTTTAAAAAAAAATGAGAAGGAGGGGTGTCTGGGTGGCTTAGTGGGTTAAGCGTCTGCCTTGGTTCAGGTCGTGATTCCAGGGTCCTGGGATCGAGCCCTGTGCTGAAACTCCCTGATCAGAGGGGTGTCTGCTTCTCCCTCTGCCCTTCCGCCATTTCATGCTCGCTCTCTTGCTCTCTCTCTCTCTCAAATAAAATCTTTAAAACAAAAGAATGAGAAGGAGACAGAAGAATGGGCCAGCAAAAGAGTAAAGCCTGCAGGGCCCTATAGGCAATCCATTCATCTAAATATCCACCCACCCACCCACCCATGAATACTCTACCCACTGGGTGGTAGGCCCTGTGCGATCCGTGGTGAGCTCCTTGTGGGTGAGAGCTGTTAGGTTCACCATCCAGCCTTTAGTGTTCAACACAGTGTCTAGTTTATTATTAGTGTTCAGTGACATTTAGGAAACTCTGAACCATCTCCGGGAACTCTCCGGTAGCAAAGATTCTGGCTCCTTAATATGTGTATCAGTTCCCTGTTGCTGCAGTAACAAATCACCAGAAACTACAACACAAGTTTATTATGACATCATTCTGGAGGTCGGAAGTCTGCAATGGCTGTCACTGGGCTAGAGACAAGGTGTGGGGAAAGGCTGATTTTTCTAGGGGCTCTCCAGGAGAATTTTGTTTTCTTGTCTTTTCCAGCTTCAAGAGCCCACCTGCATTCCTTGGTTTGTGGCCTATTCTTCCATCTTCAGAGCTAGTTGTGCAGCATCTTTGTCTTTGACTTTTTTCAAGATTTATTTGAGTGAGAGGGAGAAAGAGAGCATGTGCAGGGGGAGGGGCAGAGGAAGAGGAAGACTCTCCGCTGAGCAGGGAGATTGATTGATGTGGGGCTCAATCCCAGGACCCTGGGATCATGACCTGAGCTGAAGGCAGACACTTAACCCACTGAGCCACCCAGGTGCCCCTAAATCTTTGACTCCTTCCATTTTAATAGAACCTTCTGATTAAATGAGATGCACTAGATAACCCAGGATAAGCTTATTTAAGGTCAGCTGGTTAGCAATCTTAATTCTACCTGCCAACTTAATTTTCCTTTGTCACTTAAGATATTCAGAGTCCAGGGATCAGGACATGGACCTCTTTCCCGGGGAGTGGGGGGGGGGGGCTTGGAGGGGGGGAGCATTATTTTGCCTCTCAGTGTGTTTTAACTTGACTTAATTTGCATAGGTTTAAAAACATCCAGAAGTGACATTTGGAACACGTACTACTGATCTTTCTCCTATTAAAAGCTTACATTATTTGGCGGTGTCTTGCTCCCGTCTCTCCCCTGTGCATCTCCCATTTATAATCTGGTACATCCAGTACCAGTACACAGTATTTGAATATACTGTTTCTTCCCATTTTAGGGCTTGGTTTATAATGAATGTGCAGTAGTGTCTTCCCTTACACTGACTTTTTTTTTTTAAGATTTTACTTATTTGAGAGAGAAAGAGCAAGGTGAGTGGTAGGGAGAGGGAAAAGGAAGCCCAATGTGGAGCTTGATTCCAGGACCCTGAGATCATGAATTGAGCTGAAGGCAGATGCTTAACCAACTGAGCCACCCAGGTGCCCCCCTCCCCTCACCTCTTAGAGATTTACTCTTCAGAGGAGGCTTTCCATCTGCTGGAACCCATACTAATTGCCATACTAATTGCCTCAACTTTGGGCTCCTATGGCCTACTTATGGCAACCACCATAGTTGAGCACTTGTCCTCGGATTGTTTCACAAATATGCAACTCTCATGCTTGAGTTCTTTGCCCTGAGCTGAACAGAAATTACCACTCTGTGAATGCTTTGGTCTGTTGCTTTGCTCAGCCCCCTCTTTGCCTTGCAGTCTGCCTTTTAACTTTGCTCACAAAGCATCACCCCCGTCTTTGCTGGATGGTGTTTCTGCTGCTGTCAGCATCCTGCGTTCCAGTTATGCCACGTTGCACAGGGTTGTGCTTTGACACATTCTGGGAGCATTTCCCCCACACAGCATGTCATGTGTTTATCTGAAGTTGGGTGAGTTTAATTATTAAAGGCTTTGCAGTCTGTCTTCAAGTTTATGTGAGGAAAACAAATTGATGAGTCTTATTCAACCAATGTGAAGAAAAAGGCCATTCTTTCTCACACACTGTGATGACGCATATACTAGTCTACTTTTTTTGCATTCTTGTATCACATGATGGATGCTATTGCATAAATGGGCAATTTGAAAATTATTCAAGTAGCGCTCATGTGAGCATAAAGACATTTATACATAGGACAGTCATCCCATCATTTTAGGGCTGTGAAATACTGGAAGCATCGATAAGGAACTAATAAAACAGCACAATCATACTATGAAATATTATGCAACAGTTAAAAGGAATTAGGCGTGCCGACAGAGAACAATCTCTCTCCAAGATACTTTATGTAATTTTTAAAGTAAGCTCTCCCTGCAACATGGGGCTTGAACTTACCACCCCAAGAGTCGCATGCTCTACCATCTGAGCCAGCCCAGTACCTCTTAAGTATAAAGTATGGTCCAGAAGAGTGTATAAAGTACACTTCTATATTTAAAGGGGAAAACAAAATACATGCCTACAGGTATATACAGACATAGAATGTCTCAGCTCATCCAAGGAACTTAATAGCTGTTGCCTCTGGAGAGGTGAACTAAGGATTGGGAGGAGAGAGATTTATTTTCAGTTTAATTTCAGTTGACATTTAGTCCTCAAAGCTTGGAAGTTTCTTTTCATACCCCAGCTCTGGCATGAAGCATTTCTTTCCATCTAAGAAGCCTGGTTTGGATGTAGCTTGGTTAACTGCCCAGCCGAGTGTGGTGTTTCTCCAAGAAATCAACTTCTGAGTCGAACTGTTGGCCTCCATTGAAGTAAGTTCTGCTCACAGGGTGGATGCATTTGATAATTTAAAAGTTAATAAATTCATATACCATTTGCATTATTTTCATTAACTTGTCTTTTGTCTTCAGGGTAGGGGAGGAAATTAAAGGTCCAATTAAGCATGTATGGTGTGTAGTGATGAAAGCTGAGTAGAGGCAGGAGAACCAAGTTGAGTAAAGGAAGACGGCCCATTGTATTATGATAAAGAATGTTAGTTACTTAAATAACTGCAACCATTTTATTGTCGTTTGGTTTTTTTTTTTTTTTAAGATTTATTCATTCATTTTTAGAGGAGGAGGGAAGTGCAGAGGGAGAGAATCTCTCCAGCAGACTTCCCACCAAGCAAGGAACTAGATGTGGGGTTCCATCCCACAACCCATGAGACCATGGGCTGAGCCCAAACCAAGAATCAGATGCTTAACTGATTGAGCCACCCATGGACCCTGTCATTTGGTGTTTTAATTATGATTCAGCCTGTGAAAATGCACCCTAATGAATTTTTTTTTAAAGGAATGAATTATCCTTATAATGTGATAAGAAAAGGTATTTGATTTTTTTTTTAAAGCATGGGCATGTATTACCTTTTTAAAAAAGGAAAAGGAAAGAGAAAAAAAAAATCTAATGGAAGATTTTAACTACTTAAGAAGACTGCAGACAACCAAGAGGCAGTTTTGAATTGAAGAGCCATGATGCAGCTGCCCACTAGGCGACGATGCTTGGGGTTCAGTTGCTAATCAGCTGACTTTAAACAAAGATTCTTCTGGGTTATCTGGGTGGGTATGATGTAATCAGAGGGGTCTTCTAAAGTGGAAGCAAGAGTCAGAGTCTGAGATTAAAGATGCTAGGAGGTGGCAAGGAGGTACAGGTAGCAAGAGACTGTGGACCATTGCCTGCCACTGAGTTTGGGACGAAAAACACCCACACCCAAGCGCTCCTGACCTGATCCTCAGAAGCCATATACATATGCTCTGAATGCACCAAAAACCAACCACAGAGATGCAAAATGAAACAGAAGTTTATTTTCTGCAATACCTTCTGTAAATTACAAAGGCAAAATGCTATAAACTACAGCATATAACTTTTCAATATTTAACCAGAGTACTTATAATAATAAATATGCATCCTGAAACAAGATAAAAGGCTACACTTTGCCAGGCATCCTACAAAAATGTCTCAAGTTTTATACTCTGCAGCATTTCTGCGCGGGGGCAGGAGGGGGGGGCGGCTGCTTGTATTAAGTGCTGTGACAAAAAGTCCTTTCACATTTCTTTGGAGCATTTTCGAAATTGCTGAACTATAAACAACTTAAGAAAAGTAACACCAAGCTTGAAAGCCATTTTTGCTTTGCTGTCCTTGGTCCTCAGCCAAGGCAGATGAACACATCCTCCGATACAGCCAAGCACCCTGTGCGCCCAGGCAGCCCTGTGGTAAATGGGCGCGGTCGGAGCAGGCCTGCACTTTTAGTTATATACTCCGGAGATGTCTGCATTCAGCTGGCATCCCTCAGTAAGGACAATGCCGTAAGGAAGCTGCAAGCAAGTTCAAATATTTTTTAACCTGAAAGTAAAGTGAACAGAAATATCTTCCCCCACGACTTTTGCTATGCACCATCACATGTAACATGTTAGGATTTCAGCGTCAACGGTGGAAAAGCGGTACCAACAGTCCTTCCAGAGAGAATTGTTGGGCGCCGGTAGAGCTGGGGTATTCCCAAATACTTCGTGGGTAAAAGGACGATTTAGTATCTTCAGTTCTAAGGACACAATGGCAGAGGGTCTAGGAGTACTGGTGGCAGCTCATGTTGAGTTTGGAATAGGAATACCTAACTACCCTTGGCTATAGCTGAAAACTCTGAAGAAAAAGTTAATGCTTTAAAAAAGTGGCAAGCACGGTTACCTAAAAATACTCTGTTAATAGAGTCTAATGTAAATTTCACTTATTTAGGGGTTTAGCTATGAAAACATCTTTAAGAGCCAATAAAAAATATTGTAGAGAGAAAAAAAAACATTTCTAAAAAAATTGAGGTTAAGAACTATGAGGCATTTCTTTTGGCTGTAAACGCACAGTCTACCGTCCCTTGTTGAAACACAAACGTCCAGATTCCTGAGCTTCGCCCATAACAGCAGGAGGCCAGTTTGCATAGAAAATTTGCACTCTGTCAACAATTTGCTTCAAAAGAACTCCTAAGGACAATTTGCTTTTGTCTTCCCACTTTGTAGTTTAGTGAAGAGCCCTCCTCAGACTGTGGGACTGGCAAGCAGGGGCGATGAGCTATCTAAGGCAGATGGGGGGCAGGATGGAATCAAGAGTCTGAAAATCCACAGGATATCACGATCAAGGCTCTTAAGCGGGCACCACCTAACGAGCGCCATCCTAATTTGGTCATGTTTTAGGACTGGAAGCCAAAGGCAAGAACAGCCCCCCCCCCCCCCCCCCCCCCCCGGTGCTGAATGGCACAGCCTGAGTGGAGGGACAAAAGCAACATGGAGCCGGGGAATCCCCTCAGCTACCAAGGAGGGTGCCCAGCCGCCAGCACCAGGACCAGCCCCTGGGTGTGGCTGACCCCAGCTCCGGGATCTGAAGGGATAATAGGAGGGAGTGTCACCTCTGCTGCTCTGAAGTCCTTAAGCGGTTGTGAGGAGGACAGTCTTCTCCAGGGCCCAGTCCTCAGAAAGCTGCCTTTGGAAAGGAAAAAGCTCTGCTAGGCCACGGTGTGTACCACGGGGGAGCACAATGGCAGTGGTTGCCGACAACTCCAGATCTACCACGAAGATGGACAACAAGGGGGGCAGTGTCCTGCTGAGGGAGCCATTTTACTTTTTCTGGGACTGGTTTTTACACATGGTAAGGATTTGCTTCAGTACTTTCTGGACGTCTTCATCCATCTGGCCCTAGGGAATTCAAACAAAAGACAATCAGTAAATTGAGTGCTGGCTGTCTCCCCAAGGGAATGACCTGGCTGGGATGAAGCCCTTGGCTTCCCCCCCCAGATCTTCCAATGGAATGTTAGTCCTACGGATTCCCACATTTCTATGAGGGGCTGAGAGAGATGGCCCTGCTCTTTTCCCTCTGGAGGATGATGAGGCTGGGTCTACTAGGGTCGCCAGCAAAGGGTTTCTGGGTCTCAGCTGCCAATGTGAGCCCAGCTGGCCAAGCCACCAACAGTCATGGGGTGAGAATGTGCTGATGGCTCTGAGAATATGGGCATGCCTGAAAATAAAGTCTGGGCTGCTCCTCCTAGTGGGGGTAGCAGCCACATCCTCCTCTATTTCTCAACAAGTGATGAGGCTGCTCTCCATAAATGATGTAAAAAGGCATTTTAAAGCTTCTCAAAGAGATTCTCCTTGAATTCTCATTTGTTCTGCTAGTTTAAGGATGGGAGTTTGGGTGACATCTGATGTAGTATTTCTTCAGGACACCCAGGTACTCCACAGGCTGTTAGCATACCTGCACAGCATACAGAAGATGCATTCTGTAAACAGATATGACCTCCTGGTGTTGTTTCTTGCATTCCTGGAAAGAGACGATTTGACACTGTTAAGAGCTTAGGAGACCTTCAAGGAACAAAACCTCAAAACTGTAAGAAAGCTGTCACCAAATGCTACCCAAGTGATTCCCTCCACCAAATCCTAGCATATGAGGCTTTCACAATCGTTGTGGGCTCACTGAGTTGTATATTTCTGAACACTTGTCACTATTCCTAGGGAAACATCTGCCAGTATTCTTAGGGGAAAAGCATCTACCTAGTTCCTATTTTGGTATGTCAACTCTAGAAGAAAATTCATGTAAAAAAAGTAGTTATTATATAATCCTACCTTCGTTTAAAAGTGTATGTATGCATAATTATGCAAATATACAGATACATTCACACAAAGTAAATAGTGTAAAGAAACATATCGAATGCAAAAAGACCATCTCAGAGTGGTTGGCTTATGGACAATTCTTATTTATAGAAACTTTTCCAGAGCCTTCTGTATTTTCCAACTTCCATACAATAACCAAATATTTATTAATTTTTAAAAATCTATTCTTTTAAAAGGAGTTACTGGTGTCTCATTCTATAGCTAGTCATATAGTTCCCAGGGAGTTCAATTACTCAACTCTCAGTGTACCCAAGAGATACACAGAGGGTGGTGGCACCAATCTTAACTGGTTCCTCAGGACTGCTGTTTGTGCTTTTATTTCTCCTTGTTGAGCTATTATTCCAATTCCTCTTGGAAACTATTTCAAGAACCTTCACTCAGCTCCAAACCCTTCTAAGAAGATGGTTTTCCTCCTATTTCATGATGAAATTTGAGACTATCATATATAGACCACTTCAAAAGTCTACAAAAGTCCATCAATACCCCTCTCACCTGCTTCCTATGAATGTCAGAACATGAGGTATCCTTCCTATTCAAGGAAAACCTTTTAACTTCAGTCCTTTGAAGGTCATGCTATCCGAAAGTGTGCTTAGGACCTTCCTCCGTGCTGTTTCCTCCCACCTTTGGGACATCTCCACTCAGTCATTTAAAATTTCATCTCTGATCAATGTCCTCCTTTCCATCCCTGTTTCTGTCATCACTTAGATGACTGCAATATATCCATGTGCATGAGCCACTAACGCCTCAGTCTCACAGTTCCCCAGTGTTCACCTCCCTGACTTGCTGCCCTCCTTTTGGCCATGCACTTTCACGGTCACAGCCCTGCCTCTGTCATTACCTCTGAAATCTCATAAGAAAGCACCTCACTGGAGTAGCCCAGGTGGCTCAGCGGTTTAGCGCCTGCCTTCAGCCCAGGGCATGATCCTGGAGACCTGGGATCGAGTCCCACATCGGGACTCCCTGCAAGGAGCCTGCTTCTCCCTCTGCCTGTGTCTCTGCCTCTCTTTCTCTCTGTGTCTCTTATGAATAAATAAATAAAAATCTTTATTAAAAAAAAAGAGAAAGCACCTCACCCTCTGGTCACCAGCTCCTACCTGTCCAGCAAATCTGCTTTAGGCTTCCCCCACCTTCTGCTGTGGTCCTTCAGCCTCCCCGGATACCTGGCTACTCGGTCACTTCTCTAGGGCAGTCTACTGCAGTCCAGATTCCACCCCACCACTCCATTGGGACTGTCTTTGTGAAGACTGCCAAGGGGCACCTAAATGCCCCATCTCAGGCCTTGCTGCCTCCTGCCTATCCCTTCAAGATTTGGCACAAGCATAAGCATCACCTCCACCAGTGGATGCTTACCACATCGAGAATATGGAAAGGCACGGAGTATAGATTCACTGAAGGCAGGGACTGTGTCTTATTCCTGGTATAATATTCATTAAACGTGTTGAAAATGGTAAAAGTGATTATATAAACCATTAGCACTTTACAAGTCCGTGATAACTGCTTCATCAGAAAAATGACCTGCAGAACACACCAGAGACCATCTTCTCATCCCCAATCATTCCTTCACTGCTAGAACTGAGAACACAAAATAGCTGGTTGTGTACTCTGTGGTCAGCCAGAGTAAACCTGAGTTCACCAGGATCATGTGTGTACTGAAGAATTCATACAATCCACCTCCTGTTGGTAAATGGAAACTAGAGTGTCTAGGACAGGCCAACCCTTGGCTTCACATGGAAAATGCAACATACCTGTGTCAACTAAAACCTTAACAAACATTGTGGTAGGTGAAATAATGGCCCTGCAAAGATGTCTACACTCCAGTCCCAAGAGCCTGTGGAATGTTACCTATTTGGTGAAAGGGACCTTGTAGTTGGATTAAGTAATCCCTTAAATGTAATCACAAGGGTCCTTCTAAGAGAGAAGCAAGGTCAATGGTAGAAGGAGGAGATGGGAGGACAGAACCAGAGGTGGAGTGGTATGAAGGTGGAGGTAGGGTCCATAAGCCAAGGGATTCAGGTGGCCTCTGAAGGCTAGAGAAGGCAAGGAAACGGATTCTCCTCTAGAGCTTCTAGAAGGAACCAGCCTGGCTGACATCTTGACTTTAGTGAAACTGATTTCACATTCATCATCTCCAGAAATTTTTTAAAAAAGATTTTTATTCATTTATTTGAGAGAGCATGTGCGTGTGAGTGAGCACAACAGGGATGGTGGGGGTAGAGGGGTAGGAGCAGCAGAGGGGGAGAGGAGAAGGGCAAGTAGACTCTGCACGCTGAGTGCGAGCCCCATGTAGTTCCACCCCAGGATCCTGAGATCACTACCTGAGCCGAAAACCAAGAGCCGGATCCTTCACTGACTGAGCCACCCAGGCGCCCCGATCTCCAGAATTTTAAAAGCACAGATTCTTGTTTCAAACCAAGTTTATGTCGATCTGTCACAATAGCCATAGGAAATGAAAGGGCTTTCCCAGGTAAAATAAGGAGAGGGGCCAAGGAGCAACTCAGATGCACAGATGCACACCTAATCAGAGATCCCTGCCCCTAATAAGAAAAAAATTCTTGCCACTGCCAGAGACGATAAAGACTGTGATAGAAAAATGGAGAGGAGGTGAAAAGTTAGTGGATGAGTAAGCACGAAGCCTGCCCCACTGTCCTGCCAACTCCTCCCTTCTCAGAGATGCAGGTGACCCCCCTCGTTGTCGGTGATGCCCGGGAACGCCACCACTTCTTCCTCCTGCCCTCCCCCAAGGCGGCTTCAGTCGATTGTCCTGCAGAGTGCCACTCCGACAGGCTGGGACTCTTCTCACCCCTACCCGCACCCCCTCCCAGCTGAGCTGGTGTGGAATCGGCCTCGCCCACCCCATCCCCACCCACAGCCGGCAGCGGAAAGAAGCCCACTCACAGCCAGCTGGTTCTGGAGCTGCTTGACCTGCTGCTGCAGCACTTCCAGCTGCTGACTCTGCCTCTTGGATGAGCTCGCGGAGTACGAGAGCTGTGACAGGCTGTTCAGAGCCTCCTTCAACTTGGTGACTTCCTTCGACATCTCACTGATCTGGCAAGAGAGAAAAACTATCAGCGGGAGAAACAGTGAAGCAAAATTCCAGAGTTCGAAGCCTCCAACACAACACAGCCTCTGGGACTCGAGACTTTGGAACAATTTCTTTTTTTTAAAGAACCCCATAATATGAAATAGGTAACAAACTCACATGGCCCTCTAAGGCCATTACACTCAAATGAGGGAGGACCCCGGATTCAATCTTGTGCTTTGATGCATGAAGGTAACAAAAGCTATGACACGGATTTTCTTTTTTACTCTGAAAGGGGGTATTGCTGAAAAATATAAAGCTGAACCAGGCTATCAGGCATTCTTTATCTGGAGACAGCTATGTCTCGTTCAGTAGTGCTGACACAGGCAATCGGGAGTAAGTTCTAGGAGCCCTGATTCCTAGATATCAGGACATCTTGCTTTAAAGTAAACACAACCTTCCCTGCAACCTGGCCTCTGCCTTCCCACGTCCTGCCCCCCTCTTGGCTTTGGAAGCTCTTTTTGTAATTTTCATTATATTAAAGGAATAAATGATAAACAGTGGTCTGATCTGTGCCATTCAGAACACCTGCCCTAGGGGACCAGGGATGCGGAGTGGATTCAGGCCGGGACCTATTCTCTGAGCCTCCCTTTGTTTTCCTCCTCCCTCCAAGCCACACCCAGCCCATCTCTCATCACCTGCTCCCACGGCCCTCCCCCATACGCCTTGGACGGAGAGAGCCAGGGAGGGCGGTTCTCACAGTGACTCAGGGCAAAGCTCATGGAGCTCAGGGAAGCAGGATTAAGTCTAGGAGTATTTGAGTTTCCATATAATGGAAGAATCTGCCTAGATCCCATGAGTTCAAGTTCAAGATGGGTCACAAAGGCCTCTCAGTTTTTGGGTTCACTTCTGATCCCTGCCATTTGGCAGAGCTTCTGTAAAATCATTTTAAAAGGGAAAACAGGGGCAGCCCTGGTGGCTCAGCGGTATAGCGCCTGCCTTTAGTCCAAGGTATGATCCTGGAGACCCAGGATCAAGTCCCGCGTAGGGCTTCCCGCATAGAGCCTGCTTCTCCCTCTGCCTGTGCCTGTGCCTCTCTCTCATGAATGAATGAATGAATAAATGGGAAAACATGTACCACATATGTGAAAATGCTTTAATATAAGGGGACTGATAGAAGATCAATTTTTTTAATTTTTATTTTTTTTAAAATATTTTATTTATTTATTCATGAGAGACACAAAGAGAGGCAGAGACACAGGCAGAGGGAGAAGCAGGCTCCACGCAGGAAGCCTGACGTGAGACTCGATCCCCAGACTCCAGGATCACGCCCTGGGCCAAAGGCAGCCCTAAACCACTGAGCCACCCAGGCTGCCCCTCAATTTTTTTTTAGAACATGAATGTCCAACCTACTAATCTTAACGTGGCGGTGGGGACAGATGGAGTCACGTGCAGAGCTTCTGCGCCTTCACAACAGGCCAGTGCTAACCAGCGCTGGACACGTTAACGGCGGTAAGGGTGCTAGCTGGAAACACGACGGCAATGGAATCTCACCAACCTTCTTGTCTTTATCCTCCTCCAGTCTGGAAGAGCTCTCCGACTGTCTCTTCAGCTCGGCCAGCTCTTCCTGAGCGTGCTGGAATTGCTGCCGGAATTCATGGGCTTCCTGCTCTTTGGCTTTGAAGAGAGCCTGAATATTCTCCTTTTCCCTTTTCATCTGGGAGACCTCACTTCTCATCTGGGCAACCTCCGAATGGGCCTTCTCCTTCTCTTTCACCGAATCCTTCAATTTGGAGGCCAACACACTCACTTCGCTTTCTAATGACGACTGGAGCTTTGCGTAGGCAGACCTGGGCACCATGGCGTCGGTCATCGCGGCCTTCTCTTCCTGGAGCTGCTTCTCCAGCTTTGCCACTTCTCCTTCCTTGCTTGCGAGGTGTTCTTTGAGACCGCTTATCGTTTCCTCCATCTCTTTGGCAGTAGCCCGCAGCGTGGTTATCACTTGCAAATGTTCTGTGATGGAGACAGAGTTCTCTTTCTGTGCATCCACCAGCTGTTTGAGCTGGGTCAACTCATTCAACACCTTTGAGTACTGAGACTTCATTTCGGACAGGGCCTCTTCTGCCTTAGCTCTGGATACGTTCGTCACGTGCATCAGTTTCTCATGCTCCGCTTTATGGATATAGTCGGCCGTTACGTCTTCTAGAGATTTCCTCTTCCTATAATCCTCCAGCTCAGCCTGTGCTTCCTTGTACAGCTGGGACAGCTCGCTCACCTGTTTGTTGAGTTCATCTATCATCCTGTTCATGGCCTCTTTCATGTCCTCAGCTTCGTCGCCGGCCTCCTGTGTCATCTGACTCTTGAGGGCATCTTTTAATTTCATGATTTCTTCTTGGGCCTCTTGGTACTTCTCAAACAAAAATGCTTTCTCCTTATTCATGTTCTCAATAACAGAGCAATATGAACTTTTCATTTCCTCGTACTCTTCCACGGGAGGCTTAATCACCATAACTTTCTCCCTCTCTAGAAGTTTTTCTTCTAGCTCTCTCACTTTTTCTTTATTTCTCTCACTTTCTTCTACTGCGTTCTGGAGGTCCTGCTTTAGCACATCTATTTCCTCCTCGGTGATCCTTAGCTCCTGGAGACGCGAATAACTGTCCACACTTTCGGGCGAGACGAGGCCCAGTTTCATCTGCTTCTGCACGTTGAGGACTTCTTTCATTGCCTCCTCATACTTGCTCTGGGTTTCTTTCAGTTTCTGGCTGAGGTCAGAGCCGTTCTCAGAAATCTCTGCACTGTTTACATACACTGGTTCCTCCCTTCTGGACTGGAGCTCAGCCTGGAGCTGCTGCTTCTCTGCTTCGGAGCTCTCCAGTCTTTTCTGCAGGTCTTGCAAAATCTCTTGTAGTTGCTGAATTCGGCCCTCACTGTCGAGAGTGGATTTACTCAAGGAATTTGTTAAGACAGATGGAGATGGTTTGGAGTCTGGAGAAGTTTCATTAGGTTTTCCCAAGGGTGGAGCCAAGTCAGTTTGAGTGGAATGGTAGGAATCAAAGCTCAGGTCTGCTTCAGCCTCCTTGGGTGATTTGGCCTGGGGAAAAGGCAAGAATGAAATGGCACCAAAGATGTGGTCAGGTGAGCAAGCAACTGGAAGGAGAGAACAAATCCAGAGCTTACGTGTGGGAGAGCTGCAGGGTCACTTTATGTGTACTCTTGCCCCACAACAAAATATGGCCTGATACATGAGGGTTAGATTAATGACACTAAGCTTATTCTGTGCTCTATCAGGACAGCTGATTTGTGCCACTTTAAAAATACAAGATTTGTTTGGACTCCAAAGCCTCTGACTTAAAATTTTTCCTTTGCTTCTCCTATCATTCCAGTTGCCAGAAGGGGCAATGGGCTTTATACAGCTACTTATTTAAATTCTTAAATCTGCTGAATGATCAGCTTTACTAAATGAGTGGCTGATTATACGCATACACACACACGTCATATATAATATACACTAAGTATATAATTATATATAATTTATCAATTTAGCAATTTACAGAAATTGAATTAATGAATACCTGTCTCAACAAACAGATAATCTGAAACTATGAAATGCTTATGGCTAACTATATTTAAAAAGGAAGAAATTAATGGAGATGTTTATAACAAAATATCATCTGACTAACCTGAAAAAATCCAATAGTCTGACCCTATAGAAGAGTCTGTGGTCACAATCTCTATACCCACCTGTAATTTATCTTGTAATTCCTTATTGTGTAAGGTAAGAGAAGCGACTTTTGCTTGCAACAAGACAAGAAGATCTTGTTGGTCAGCTTCAGAACTTACATCCAACAAGCTATCAGCACCTTGGAAAAGAGAAAAGCAATTTAATATTTAAAAAACCAGTATTTCTCTGACCTTTAACTAAGTCACTTTCTAACCAGTCCAATGCTTCTTCCTGGTCCTGACTATGAATGAAAGTCCCTAGCAGCTGGGAGATGAACAGTAATTCTCAGGTCCTGGAGTTTCCTTACTACGGTATTCCCAGCACAGGACTAGATGCCTGGATGTATATAAGCTCATCTGAAAACTGATGGATCTGGGGCGCATGGGTGGCAGGCTCAGTTGGTTAAGGGTCTGCCTTTGGCTCAAGTCATGATCCTGGGGTCCTGGGATCGAGCCTCACATCGGGCTGCCTGCTCATCAGGGAGTCTGCTTGGGATTCTCCCTCTCTCTCCATCCCTCCCCCAACTCATGCTCCCTCTGTCTTCTAATAAATTAAAAAAAATCATTAAAAAAAAAACTGATGGATTTGCTCATATGTCTTCCATTCACCTGATTAAGTGTCATATCTTAGTTGTTTTTTGTTCCTCCCATGCCTAATAAGTCCCATTTCTGTGAGTCCTTTTAGAAATATGCTGGTTCACTTCTTATCCCTATCACCATGACTCTAGTTCAAACTTTATCACCTAGCTTGGAAACCCTGCAAATAGCCCTGTAACAAAGCTCTCTCTCTCTCCTCTCTGTAGTAAAAATATAGCCTTGCCCCATACTGTTAGGCTAATCTTCCTAAAACATGCTTTGATAGGGTCATTCCTGTGGTTCAAGTGCTTTAATCACTCTCTCTCCAAAATTAATCTCCAGATTCCTTACTTTGGGTTAAGGCCACCATAATCTGGTGCCAATGTACTTTTTAGGTGTATGATCCACGATCTCTAGTTGATCACATCTTTATATTCTCAACACAGGGTTGCTGCTTTAATTCATCATGTATACGACTGCCTTCATAGCATCTCTTTGGTTAAGTCACTTGTGCATCTTTCAGGACCCACATCAAACTTTGCTTCCTCCTTACAGCATTTGATGACCCGATGACCACCCCACCATGAAACAGTCTCCTCTGAATCCCACAATCCTGCTGCTGGCAAGCCATAACTTTTTGACATCCTACTGATTATCATGCTAAAATAACATCTAAAGCAATGATACTCAAAGTGCTTACTGAGACAAGAACCTTGCTCCAGAATGTTATTCAGCACACTGCTGCCTTCATGCAGTGTTCCCATGGGAACAGCGGGGGTGGGGGGAGGGCGGGAGGGGTCTGCTGGACAAAACAGTGCGCCCATCAATATAGCTGGATGACTTTCTGGTGCAAACTCCTTATTTCATATAGACTGGCAACAGTTTGCAGACCACAATCTGAATAGCACTGATCTACATATTTTAATGTTATTTTATTACTATAGAGCTATAGTGGCTGAGTTGGTTAAGCGACCAACTCTTGGTTTTGGTTCAGGTTGATCTCAGGGTTGTGGGATCGAGCCCCAAGATTCTCTCCCTCTGCCTCTCCCTCTACTTGCACATGCATGCACTCTCTAAAATAAATAAATAAATCTGTAGAATAAAATAAAATGAATAAAAGAGAATACGTAGGCTACAGTAATTTAAAAGCTGATTTTGTAATACATCAAAAAACAAGAATTTGGCAGCAGGTCTAATAATTGCTGCATTTCTGGAAGAGAGACTGTAAATGGTATTTCAAGATACCTGCAATAATAGGAGACATAGGTGACATGACATTATCTGTGAATTCTCTTGTTGGCAAAGTCACTGGTCTGCTGATATCACTGGGGGGTTATTTGTCTATATTTAAAATTGAGGGAAGTGCTAACATTTAGTTAGGGACAAATAGAAACAGAGATATATTTTTTTCATGCCCATGCTTAGAGACTCCTTAAAGTCCAGGTGAAAGCCTCTGGGAGTACAGGAAGTGTCAGCCTGTGTAGTATTGGCAGCTCTGGGGTGGCAGGCATCCCAGGGTTCTCCAACCCCCCTACACTCCCTCCCAGCTTGGCCTTTGCTCTCTTTAAATGGGCATGGACTACAGACCTGTCAAGGGAACACAAACAGGTGCCCCTTCATCTTACCTGTGGTGCTGTCACTTAGTCTGTCTTTGTTTTCTTGTATAGAACTGATCTCAGCCTGTAGAAACACAAAAATGACTTCAAAGAATATTCCTGACTATAATAGCCCATAAAAGCAGCAAGCAAATTTTCCTCCCTGAGTTGACACAGAACAGTTATCCTTCTAGAAGAAGTTAGAAAATCCCCAGGAAAGAAAGTATTTTAAAATATAAGTGTATAAAAGTGAAAATTATCTACTAACATAATCTCTGAAACATCAGGTTCCAGAGCATATAATCTCAAGTGTTTTTCAGAAATTTCATTTAATCAGTATAATACAAATATCTTTTAGTATTAAAATAATTTTATATCTATGTCCTAAAACTTGAGATGGCAAATATTACTTTCATAATGAAGTCAAATACAAGTTTCACCTGTCTGGATAATACATTGATTAAAATAAATAGAAGTACTCTTTAGCTTTACTATTTTATAAATTAACTGTTATTAATACATTATTATTAATATTTTTAAGAGAAGTTGTAGTAAATAGACATGTCAGGGATGTTATAGGTAATTTTACAAGGGAATAAAAAGTTTTATGGTCATGGACTGACAATCCCCTGAAGATTTCCTCTGAACCTTTGTCCCTGAATATCTGTCTGCAAATACATTGTAAACATTCTTGCAACTTCAAAGCCAGACTTTCATTTCAAAACAAAATACAACAAGTTGCCAGAAATTACTGTGTTTCATCCAGATGAGCCATAGACCTGATAAAAAAGATAAGTTTTCAGCAAAGGGACTTTTGTGAAAGCCCAAAATGCTAAAAATAAAGTGGCTCATTTTTGGCAAGTGCTTATCTTCACGAAAAGCTGTCTTTTCACTTTATAAAAATAATGTTTATTTTTATTTTTCAACTATTTTAAGGTACAATAAACAGCATCCATTTAAAGTTGACGGTGTAAGGAGTTCTGGTAGATACATACCCATGGAACCACCACTAAAATCAAGACACAGCATGTTTCCATTAACTCTACAAGTTTTCTCATGCTTCAACACAGCCAATCCCTGTCCACCTTATCCCCAGGCAACTGCCACTCTCCTTTCTGCATTATCTAGAATTCCTATAAATGGAGTGTCACGGGTATGAATTTGTCAGGCTTCTTTCACTCAGCATGATCTTTAGATTCATCTATGATGCTGCTTGGACAGCTCTACATCCTTTTTTATGGCTAGATAATAAAAACTGTATGGACATATGTCAATATTCTTATCCATTCACTTGCCGACAGACATTTGGATTGTCTCTAGTTTTGGGATACTTAAATAAAGCTGCTACAAACATTTGTATATACAATTTTTGGAGACATACATTTTAATTTCTCTTGGATAAACATCAATGAGTGGACGGCTAGATATGTCAAGTGTATAATGAACTTTTAAAGAAACTCAGTTTTTCAAGTAGTCATGCTTCTTTACATTCCTACTAACAGAGTACAGCAATTCTAGTTTTTCCACGTTATCACCCTAGCCATTCTAAATAGCGTCCCTTTTAATCTTTGTATGGGTGTGTGTGTGTATGTGTGTGTGTGTGTGGTGGGGGGAGTGATTAAAGAAATGAAAGTCTTTTCACACTATTTCTGAAAATTGTAATTTGTGATATCATTCTTTGGAATGCATTGTGTCCTTTGAGTCATAATCGTATTAGAAAATATTAGGGTACTCACTGTAAGAGCATAACTTTCTTTCCTTTCATAGGTATTCATCTTAAGAATTTATTAATAAAATCGAGTTAAAGTGGTAGAAATGTTAGGTTGGCAGAATCTTTCAGATCCCTGGGCATACAAGTTAAAAGAGAATTTATCTTCAGTAATTCTTAAATAGAGGAAACAAAAAATATACAATGATACCACTGCAATTTTTATTTTAACAATTAAAAATTTTATGTTCTCTCCAAGCATAATTTCCTAGTGATGGTTAGGTAAACAGATAGTAACTTGAAATATACTCCCATTTCTTTTTTTTTTTTTAAATTTTTTTTTATTATTTATTTATGATAGTCATACAGAGAGAAAGAGAGAGAGAGGCAGAGACATAGGCAGAGGGAGAAGCAGGCTCCATGCACCGGGAGCCTGACGTGGGATTCGATCCCAGGTCTCCAGGATCGTGCCCTGGGCCAAAGGCAGGCGCCAAACCACTGCACCACCCAGGGATCCCTATACTCCCATTTCTTAAAATACTTTCCAACAACAAATCTAAAGAATCAAAATGGATTTTCTAAAATCAATGCATACTACTTGAAAAAAAAGTTAAATTAAAGTAAGACAGTAAGACATCAGAGAATAATCAACATTTCTTTCTTTTTTGAGTGGCATTATATCAACTCCATTTAGTAAGAAGACTGGCTGTCAGGAAAGTTTTTGTCCCTTTTTGTAAAAGGAAGAGAATTAGTTATTACTTAATGATGTTATTTATTCATTCTACTCTTTTTGTGTGGAGTCCATGCTGGGAGAAATGACTGAAGAGTGCTTCATGATGAAAAGGTTGTGAACCAATCACTGGAAAATCTGTTCTGTTTTGTCCTATGTTGTCCCACTTAAATCACATCTATTATGTATCTTAAGATTCAAAATAAATTAAACACAGAAAGGAAATACCTTGAAGGGTGGTTCGGCAAAAAACACAGATTCCTTTCCCGAAAGTGGTGTTGAAGTTATTGATCTTGGGGAAGACACGTCACTCAACTTAAAAGACAAAATGAAAATCACAGATAAAGAGTGCTTCTTCAAAGTCTTTTCTTCTCCAGGGCCAAAGAATTCACCTACTTAATTGCTACAAATAAATATAATGGCAACCTTCCTTAGTCTCAATTCAAGGGTATTTTCAACATAGTGTGGACCCTCAAATACTGACAGTTCACAGAGTGTAATTAAGTACCTCTGCTCCTATATTCACTAGAAGCAACTCTCAAAACCCATAAAGCTTCTGTGGCATGGTGAGAATATTATCAGTGAATATGCTCATGTAGTTGAGATATTCCTCTCAACTATCTGAGACATTTCACAGACATCCAAGCTTCCTCGTTTAGGCAGTCGTCACTATACACTCAGAAATGAAAGCTACTTTTAATATTAGCCAACCTTCAATGTAATTACAGAGGCAAATCTATTTTAGCAGTGTTTTAAGAAACCAACTAAAATTCATTTTCAATTAACTGCTTCACCAGCCACCCATTCTCCCTGCCTCTACTTGAGCTGTTGACGTGAGGTACTAAAAATTGACTTGAGTTTCACTTAAGGAAGAAGTTTCTGTCATAAGACTTTGAGAAATTTTCCTGAGGCTTTTATTTATTTTATTTCTCCTTGAGCCTTTTAAAAAGATACTGTTCAATTCCTCAGCCTTGCAATAAATAAGAATCAACATGATTAAAAAAAAAAAAAAGACTCAACATGATTTCCATACTAATCAGTAAAACCCTTCACACCACTATCTGTAAATTTAAAACCAGTAAAGAGAATTTGAAAGGTGCATTTAAGGGTTAATTCAAAAACATTTCTATTTGGCCAGACACACAAAATGACAAAATCATGGCTTGTCGTCTTTGTCGTCGTATGATTGTTCACTGCTGGTTGGCTTTTTTCTTTACCTGAGTAGGACTGACAGGAGGTGGTGGAGCTTTGCGTTTTTTTGGAGTTCCACTTCTTTCTGAGCTTAGTTTAGAGACTTGATCATGCTGGAAGTTAGCACAGTCCAAAGAATGGAGGTGGGTTAGTTCGGTTAGTAAAGTCTGAACAAACAGCTTCATCAAACAAATGAGAAACACTGCAACAGTTCGTGCATTTCTTACTTTATCAAGATCTGACATCTGCTATCGACATAAAAATAAGTAATATGCATGCTCCAAGTTTTCTTCCAGCAGCCCATGCTTTAATAGCAAGAAAATATAAAACACAAGACAAAACCAGATTAAGTTGGTGTAAGGAACTGGGTAAGTGGAGGATGGGGAGCTGCCTGCCCCAATTTAGAACCCAGGATACATTTCTAGTCTAGCTTCCATCTTAATGCAAAATAGTGGTATATCCACCACCTGTGCTTTACTTCCACTCCTTAAAGAATGTCAGTATGGGGGCAGGAAACATCATCTAGGAAGGTTATAAAAAAGTAACATAGTTTGTACCTAATAAATTCAGTATTGACCATTTCCTATTTATGATAATTTTTCAAGATCCTTGATGTATAACTAAATAAATGCAGTAGCCAACTATATACCTCACCAAAAAAGTAAAGAACATCGATGATGTTTTTAGGAAAAAATTCCAAAATAACATGGCAATCTTCTCAGTTTCTGGAATTTTAATGACAGCTTATCAAAGTTCCAATTAAAATGAAAGCACAAGCTGAACCTCTTATGTTCATTAAATATCTAACACTGCCATGGATACAGGTGTATAATCTGTGGGACACACAAGCATTTAAAATGTTGTTTGTTCACAGAGTTAACCATTTTCACACCAACAGAAAATATTAGTACATTTCAGGAAAAGATGAATATATAAGTAGCAGGTTTTAAAGTTACATGCTTTGGAAACAGGGTAAACCACTAAGAAAATATTTACCACCTTCTAACAATGAATCATTTATTCTAAAGATTTTTCATTCCTTAGTGTTTTCAACATAGTTTTTATTACTTTTCTAGTGGACCACAGAGTAGTTGAATCAGGATATTTTCAAAGTCCCACAAGCTACAATGATAAAAAATTCTCAAATAAATACCTGCTTTGGTTTTGTTGGTGTCTTTAAATCTATAGAGGAAAAAAAAAGTGAAAAAAAAAAGAACTGTAAGAACCATGACTCACATCCACTTTGGGTGGGGGATACACACACACACACACACACACACACACACTCACACACACTCTCACATCCATACATACAACAAACACAATATTTAACACTTCATTTTTCTTCAAGAATATATTTAAAAGAATAATAAAATAGATCATATTGCACACATTCCTTTACCCTTTGGGGAAAATGGAGTGGATAAATTTAAAACAACACTGGCTATTTTCTTTCACATACCAGAATCCTGAGAGATTTTTGATAATAGAAGGCTTTGAATTCCTGCATTTTCTGAGAGTTTGGAATAATGTAAGGCATTGTGTCCGAGAGAATCTACAAGGTTTAGGTCTGCACCCTTTTTAATTAAGGCTTCCACGATATTAGAGCTGCTGATCTCACAAGCCAGCATGAGAGCAGTTCTAAAGAAAAAAGGAGACACCAAATTAGTACTAACAAAATGGGAAAATGCTTTCTTGGAAAATTATTTACCTTAGAATACAAGGGAAAGAAGATTAAGTGTACTTAAACATACACACTTAATCTTCTAGGGAATTTGAAATGTCGTGCTAGTGAGATGAAATTAGTATTTTTTTTTAACTTCAGATTATATCAAAACATTAAACCATATTAGGTCAAATAACTTAGACATAATCTTCTAAATATAATCTTCTAAATATGATGGGATTTAATGTGATTGGCACAAATCATGTCCTCCTTTCACCTCAAGCATTTTACAGTACTTATACATTATAATGACTATTTTTAAGAGCAGCCAATATGTTTACTTTTATTTAATTTTGCCTAAAAAGCCATTGGAAATGGCCTCGACACTTTAGTATTCAGTAATCTCATCACAGACTCAGTATGTTCCCAGAGGTCTGAGGGAAAATTTTTTAAGTCACAAAAGACTCTGGATTATCAAAAGAGGCAGAAGGAGTGCCTAGCTGGCTCAGTCAGTAGAGCACACGACCTTTGATCTCTGGGTCATGAGTTTGAGCCCCATGTTGGGTACAGAGTTTACTTAAAAAAAAAAAAAGGCAAAAAATGAAAAATTAAGACCACTTTATAACAAATGATCCAAAAGATTGCTGTGTTATTTTGAGCCTCCCAGAATGTAGTTATCACTAAAATCCCATGATTTCTATTTCTGTGGTACCTTCCACTTTTGTCCCTGGAATTTACATCTGCTCCATGGTCCAGCAAAAAGCGACAGACCTCACTGTGGCCATTTTGTACTGCCAGCAGCAGTGGTATATTCCCATCCTAGGAGACAAATTCAGATTGATTTTAACTCAGACACCAAATGCCAGAATTGCGAAGGCCCTTGTTCTTTGTATATTCATTCCTGAGCTGTCCTGCCGCCATGACAGTTTGGGTCCCAATAGGGCTGCCATTACATCTCAGCACAGCTCTTCTTATGGAGTTGTACCAACTGTTGGCTTTTACTCAGGAACCTCAGCCTCCTGGGCTACTTGTTCCCTCGGACCATCACTCAGTCTGGTGATGGTGTGTGAGAGAGTATAGAACACCAAGTATGAAAAGACTCAAGGCAAGCGTATCATGTTTATTGAGGGATGACTCTGGAGAAATGAAGGACTTGTTTCCCTAGGGCAGCTCCTTCCTAGTGAACTACATGCATCCTACCATTCATTCCACTCTTCCCTTCTCAGAGAGTGCATGCTTTTGTAACCTTAAAGGTACCAAACAAAACATAAATTCAGAGTGTTTATACCTGACACCTGACAAGATAAAAGATCAATGGAAAGAATGATTTTGTATGGCAACTGGCATTCCTTTAAAAAAAGAAAATGCTGATGAAGCACTATATTATATATCTGAAACTAATGTAACACTGTATGTTAACTACACTGGAATTAAATTTTTTAAAAATAAAAATTTAAAAAGCAAAAAAAAAAAAAAGGAAAGAAAATGAGATTCCCAACTCACAAATCACATGAGGAAATTAAGAATTTAAACATTGTTTGTAGCAGAAAAACAAAAAATACTAGAAGAATATATAGGTGACTATTTCTACAATCTTAGAGTGAAGGGGTCTTAACTCAAATAATGCAAACCAAAAGAGAAGCTTCTGTTCTGCTTTTTTCTTGAACATACCTCACAAATGAGGTTGATAGTAATTTTTAAGGTAGATGGATTCAAATAGACAAAGGAAAACATAAATTGCAATATAGCCAGTGATTTTTACATGAGGATTTAAAAATATATAATTGGGGCTTAAAGATGGAGTCTCCATTTAAAATAGAATTTCAGGGCAGTCCCGGTGGCTCAGCGGTTTAGGGCCACCTTCAGCCCAGGGTGTGATCCTGGAACCCGGGATCGAGTCCCACGTCGGGCTCCCTGCATGGAGCCTGCTTCTCCCTCTGCCTGTGTCTCTGCCTCTCTCTGTGTGTGTGTGTCTCTCATGAATAAATAAAATAAAATCTTAAAAAAATAAAATAAAATAGAATTTCAGACACAGTTCTACAAAGTTATCTCTGGGAAATTATAATACTTCCTGGTTATAAAGTACTGAGATTCAGGGAATGGGAATTTATCTACAGATTCTATATAACCACTTAGCAATAACCCCATCAGGCATAATGCATGCATGTCAATTCCCATGCTATAGCAGGAAATTTAACCTTGTAACCAGGGGTGACTGGCATGTAAACTTCCTCTCATCCTTGCGCAGGGGCCACAATAACTTTCTCTGTATCGTTCCAATTTTAGTTTATGTGCTGCTGCAGAGAGCACATAAATTTACTCCAGAAATAGCCCAGCAGGGTCAAAATAGGCTAGAAGCAATCTTCAAAGGTGGGAAACCCTACCCACGAGGACCCAAGATGCTATATGTGAAATAACAGCAGTACTAAAACTTCTAGTTAGACTTCCTTCTTATTTCTAAAACTCAAGAAATTAAGCCTTATTAATATTTAGGTTGATGGCAGATGACCTTAGAAACAGATACACCAGGAAGTGCATGTGACAAAATGTTTTACTGATGGTTCAAGGGACCAATGTGGATAATACTGAATCCAATTTGCAGAAGAGGATCCAGGTTGAAAAACACCAGCCTTGCTAAATGCTTAGGTCTCTAAATGTCCTAGTGGCTCTTGGAAGTAGCTCACTGCGCTCTAGAAACCAGTGTCCATCTCCACCTCTAGTAGCCGCCAGATACTCACCAAATCCTTGAGGTTTATAGGGCTTTTGTGCTCACAAAGAACCTGCACAGCTTGAAGGCAGCCCTGAGCCGCTGGGGAGAGGAAACACATCACAGCATGTCACAAAGCTGCTCACACAAGCAGGGGCATCAAACATGTCTAGGACAGAAAAGCTCGTGTCCCACCCACTTTGCCTAGGTTATTCTACTTGCACCGAAGAGAAATGGTATCAGGAAAGTTAAGTAAGCTGTGGCCTAAAGCCAGTGGCTACCAGTTGCCCCACGCAAATACTTGGTTTAGCATTTTATAGGACTTAGCTTGTCTGCAACCAGCACTCAGAAATGTATAAATCTCATCGTTCCTGAATTCGGTTTTGTTACTTGGAGCCGTGTGACAGATAACGACAGACAGTAAAACAAAACACTGATAGATAAAATTGGGGTTTCTTTTGATCCCACATCAAAAAAAATCTGTATCACACATTACATGAAATCTACAAATGCTTATAATTATCTCTCAGTTTAAACAAGAACCTTATGTTAATTAAAATATAGTAACCATGACAGTGTTTACTGATTGGCAGGGAACTGATGAATCCTAGATGCGTTCTTTGATAAAACTCTACATGTTTTGCAAACGGAGGGAAATGGAAATTCTAGGAATGATGACAAGATGACAGCAACAGAAATAAAATGGTAAAGATAATGGCTTGAATGAGGAAAAGGAAAATTTAGTATTTCTTGTGGCAGAAGATAAATAAGAGACTGAAAGTCACCTGCATAATGTAAAGCTGTTTTCCCAGAGCTGTCAACACTTTCGGCTGGGCATTTAGACTAGAAGACAAAAATAAATACACATAATGAAATTCAGTTCTGTTTAGTTCATCCTTTTCCTGCAAGGTTATGATGCGTCTTATTAGGACGTGTATAAATATGAATAAGCCCTGATGGCTACGCTCCAGGGCCCACAGGCTCTTGCGGGGAGGGGACTTGCTTCCAAGTAATTGTGACCCAGGCAAAAGGTCACCTCTTTGTTGCTTTGGCCACCCTGTCCTCTCTCTCACACTAGCATTCCATCACCAGCAGATCATCCCCACCAGCTAACAAATTCTAGGAGGTCTCATCTTGCTCCCATCTTTCCCCTCATTTCCTGCTCTATTTCTCTAGCCCTCTTCACAAAAGCAACCTTCTGTCAAGAACTGCCCACATGCAATCAATGCTTCCTCGCTTCCCATTCACTTCCAAAGCCAGTGCAGTTGCGTGTTGTCCTCCAGACTCCACAGAGATGGCTCTGGTCAAAGTCACCAACAACCTTCATGTTTCCTGTGACAACAAACATCTGTGTGTTCCTCTTACCACAGTCTATCCCCTTCTCCAAACGTTGCTTCCTCTCAACTCCCAGAGCCCACACTAGCCTGGTTTCCTCACCCCTGCTCCGGCCACTCCCCCTCCATTAGCCAAACATGACCTTGGGGTTCCCTGGTGCTCTCTTCCTTGGTAATCTCATCCACACTCAGAGCTTGAGATATACCACCTACGGCTAATGACTCAAAAGTGTAGCTTACCAATAACCACAATACTGCATAGTAGCTATCGCACGCCAGGCACCCTTCAAATAATTGTTTTAAGACTCCTAACGACCCTAGGTAGATACTATTATCACTCCCATCTTCATTTGAGGAAACTGAGACACGGTGAAGTTAATAATTTGCTCATGTCACAGGAAGTGGAAGAGCCAGGATTCAAATCCAGACATGCTGGGCTAGAGCCTTGGTTCTTATCTGTACACAGCAGACATCATCTCAGATTGCCAGGCTTAATAACCCACTGCCTATTTCACATGCCCACTCGGATGAAAGCACCTCAAACGCAGCCCAGCCTAAACTTCTGGTTTCCTCTCCCTGACACTTCCCTATCTTTGTCAACAGCACCACCACCTAACTAGTCAACGAGCCAGAGACCACTGGGTCATCTGTGATTTCTTCTCCTCCTCCTCTTCCCCCATCTACCACCACCTCATCCTGTCAATTCTGTGTCCTAAATACACCTGCTCTACTCTCTTGCTGAGCCAGCACCTTCTCGCTCGGACAAGCTGTGGCCGCCTCCTGGGGGTCTCCACAGCTCTGCTGTTGTCCTGATTCTCTATATGAACTAAAGTGATCTTTTAAAACTGTGAGCATCAGTCCTTCCTCAAAAGGCCTCCACAGTTCCACACCGTGTGTAGATGAGTTATAATCCGCCTGTCCTAACACACAGGCTGGCACCCCATGTCCTTCTTTCTCCTCTCTCATTTAACCCCAGGCTTTCTTTCCTCCCTGACTAGAGCTTTTCCTCCCCGAGGCCCTCTGAACTTGCTCTTTGTCTCCTTGAGATGCTCTCCCTTGGCTCTTTCCATCGTTTTCAGTTTAAATATCACCTCCTCCATGAGGCCTTCTCTAAACCTCTACCCCACATTCCTCTCTCTCAGCACTCTTGTCAGTTTTCTTCATGATGTTGTGCAATCTGTAATGTGCATTGCGGATTTGTTTACAAGATGACCAGCTCCATCAGGATAGGGGATGGAGATCACTAGAGTCCCATCACAGAGGGCAGGGGATGCCGAGACAGAAGTGGAGAATTGGCCAGAGAGGCCCAGGATCCAAGGAAAACAACCCATTAGTAGGACACCAAAGCTTCTGATTTGAAAAACTATTCAGAAAGAAGAACAGCAAGTCTACAAGTCAGAGGCAAGAACAGGCAACATTAGAGTGAAATGTCTGTCCGCCCTTCAGTGGTAAGAAGAATGGAGATCAAGTTACGACTTACCATGCTTTGGCCTAATTTTAGAATAGCACAAGGAAGTGTTTAAAGGCTTCAAAGATTCCAGAGAAAAACCAATCCATTTGCATAACCAGATATAAAATTACATTAGAGGCTAGAATATCTGGTCCCTGCCCATGAGGATTTCCAGCTTGTCAAGTTCATTCTTCCTGAAAATCAGAGCCAGATGCAAAGTCTGGATAGCCAAGCCAGAATGGGAATGGAGATTTAAAATGTAAATAAGTTAAAAAAAAAATAAGGGACAACCAAAGGTATGGAGGCAGGGCACTTAGGCAAGTCAGTGATTCATCATTCATCCAGAGTGCCGGGTCACAGAGAAGGCAGGTAAGTTCTATTTTCACTGTTTTCAGAGAGATGCCTCATAATTTAAAAAAAAATAATAACAACAATAATCACAGACGTTGATCTAGTTTTCTTGAATTTCACTTCAAAGACCTGTTAAGGTTATGCATTCCTGGCATTGGTGGTGGCTTGCATCATGTAATGCAAGACAAGAAGCTGTGTGATCAACAGAGCACGACAAGTGGAAGAATGTGACCACATTTCTGCATTAGACTTGCAAAGCCAAATGAAAGCAAGCTGCCAGGTCCCACACGGTGCTCGTGAAGGCCGAGACGACAGCGCAACAGAAGAGACAGTGCTCCAAGCCCGGATCGTACTGCCCTGTGCCTTCCTGAAAACCACCAGCTTGCATTTTGACTGACAAGAGCTGGATGTTACGGTATGGACTGCTATTGGGAGTTCATTAAATATTCATCTCCAAAGATTTACAGATGTCGTGCCCCCTAAGCGATCATTATAAACGGGCAAGGTTAGCAAAGCGGGGAGCTGGCTTAGAATGATAAAGAAGAAACTAAGAACGAAAAGCTCATTAAAAGTTACACAGGGGGATTCCTGGGTGGCTCAGCGGTTTAGCGCCTGCCTTTGGCCCAGGGCGCAATCCTGGAGTCCCAGGATCGAGTCCCACATCGGGCTCCTGGCATGGAGCCTGCTTCTCCCTCTGCCTGTGTCTCTGCCTCTCTCTCTCTCTCTCTATGTCTATCATGAATAAATAAATAAAATCTTAAAAAAAATAAAAAATAAAAGTTACACAGGAGGAGATAACAGTTGAAATTTTGTTTCTCACAAAGAGCTGCTTTCTACCAAGGACTGAAACAGAGGACACTAGGAAATCACAGATCCTGCATTGCAAGGACCTCCAATAGCATGGAGAAAGGGTTTTAAGTTGATGATGTGAAGGATACCGGTCCTTCAGAAAAGAAAATAAGGAGCTGAATGAAGGAGAGAGAAAGGCTGGATCCCAGGAGGCCCCTCCAAACTCCCATCAGGAGCCTCTTCTCTACCAGGGTAATTGCTAGGAAAATCATCTTTTCCTTGTCATTTAAATAATGACGCCTCTTAGGAAACACGGATTCTTGGGATGGTATTTAAAGGAGTGTGTGTGTTGGTTCTTTCACAGATAAAGTTACTTTTAAATTTAAAAAATGACATAATTTTAAGAAGTTCAAACTATAAGTGGTTCCATTTTACCTGAAGGAGCTTCCTGATGCATTCGTGGTGGCTGTTCTTGGCTGCCAGGTGCAAAGCACTGTGTCCTAAATGGATTAAAAAAAAATTTTTTTTTTTTGAAAGAAAGGCCACACATTTTAAATCCCTTTCTTATCTCTGCAACGAGGGCAACTATGAGGAAATAAACTTCTCCAACAAAGACGGAATTGTTACTCTCGAGGGTACGGCCTCAGCTTCTTATCTGTAAAGTTCACTGACACAGAGCATCCTGCCCACGGGATAATATTCAGGGTCTACTTCAGGTGTCGTTCTCTTGGGGTGCCGTTAAACTCTGGGCTAGAAGCTTGCGGGCGACTCACCATATGCAGCTCAGCTCTGCTTTCAGCTGTCAGCATGTATGCCAAATGTCCCGCGTCCACATCAGCCACACCGGGCTACAACTACCACAGGCCTAGGAACCCAAGAGAGGCCGCCTGTACGCCAGCCGAGAACATTCTAAACACCCACACACTTAAATCCCTATTTTTGACCTTTTATTTCCCTCTCCTCCAAATGTCTTCCAGTCCCTGCACGGAAATTACCTGGAGTTTTCAGATACTCAAAATCCTTACGTGGAAGAAGGAAAAGAGTTGTAAAAACAGTGATACGCTATCAAAGCAGTATTTCTTCACGTTTCCTTCAAAGAACATGACTCCAATATGCACTCTGCTGTCTCAAGGGTCAGCTTTAGGAAATCCTCGTGCCATACCCACGAGTTGCCATACCCAACTCTCTCCACTGTCCGCTGGGCCTAGGGAATTTCTGTGGAAGAGGGGCTTGGGGCCAGCCTCCGGGCAGAGGGCAGGCTCCTTCCCAAGCCCCTTCACAACTGCTCTACCCTGAGCCTGGACTCTTCCTCCAGGATCACCACCTGCCTTACTCTCACCTCAGATGCTGCTGACAGGGTGCTTTTGAATGAGGTCTTCCCTGACCTCTCCTTTTAAAATTCCCATTCCTCCGCCAACCTTTTAATCATGACTCCCTGCTTCATTACTGCTCTTCCTAGCACTGAGCACTTCTCGTACCCCCTTTCCTCCCCTCTACACACACACACACACACATTTATGGTGTGCATTATTTTTCTCTCCCCACTAGAACACGAGCTCATGGAGGACAGGAAGTTCTGCTTCGTGCCCTGCTGTGTCTCTAGTTCAGCACTGATGACACATAGTAGGTTCTTAATACACATCCATTAATTTGAATTGAAAGAGTATGCTCGTCCCAAATGTCTGAGGAGAACGTTCTGGAGGGAAGAAACCAAAGTTACCACTGCTAGCCAACCCAGCACACATAGTAAACTCTCAAATCCTCCATTTCCCAAACTTTTTGACCAAGATATATCCAATGTAACATCTGTAAACAACCCATACTTTGGGACACGCTTCAAGCATGGTTTCTCTGCCTCAGCGCTACTGATATTTTAAGCTGTGTTGAGGGGAGGGGGGGTTGTCCTATGCATTTTAGGGTGTTAAGCAGTACCTCTGGCCTCCACCCATTATATGTCCATTTGTGATGATCAGAAATGTCTCCAGACATTGCCAGATATCTGCTGGGGGCAAAATCACCCCTAGTGAGAACGACTGGCTTACAGAAAACAATTTCTTTTACATGGTGGTCCAGTCTCCAAATATCATTTCTCCTTTTTGAAATAGTCTTCACTCTGTAACACTGACTGGAAATCTTTTTTTAAAAAGATTTTATTTATTTGAGAGTGTGCGTACTAGTGGTGGGGAGGGGTGGAGGGAGAGGGAGAAGCAGACTCCCCGCTGAGCAGGGAGCCTGAAGCATGGTTCCATACCAGCCCCTGGAGATCATGACCTGAGCCAAAGGCAGTTGCTTAACCAACTGAGCCACCCAGGCAACCCCTGACTGGAAATCTTTAATTATTAGAGAATCACACTGCTAGGAAAATACATATTTAAAAATTAGAGGGTTTTAGGACACCAGTGAGCTGCACAAAAGCACATGTCAGAAGATAAGATTCTTTCTTTTCTGAGACCAGCTGTACTGCAAGATTTTAAGGGCATGCCTGAGGAGGGGTTTAGGTGAATCCCTCCAACCCCTCCCAAACAGATGAGGATGAGGAAGGAACTGACACCCTTGGAAGAAGGAAGACAAACATCTTCTCCTCCTCTTCCTCCTTTTACTGCATGAGGCCCCCACCTGCCAGGATGTATACTGCCGTCGTAGTAGGAGTTCCGTTACAGCACGCATTAAATACTGTGGCTAGCCTGGCCCCCAACCATCTGTACCCGCGTTTCTAAGGACAAACACATTCTGAATTTTAAACAAATGCCTTACAGATGAACTTTTGGAAGCCATCCTGATTATAAGTAGAAGACTGTTTATGTCATGCATGCAGTGCATTAACTTTTGTCTATGTCATGGACCATCTAAGCTGTTCTACATAAAGAGCACCCATTGGAAAAAGACACAATTCTCCAGAGACAAGATGGTAGGGAGGTTTAAACAACTCAGCGTAAAATAAACAACAAAGCTTCATTTCACTCCAAGTGTTCTAGTCATACCTGGAAGTAAGTGCTGTGCTTCTAAAGAAACACAATTCTTTTATTCCTTGGCCCTGTACTACGTTTTCCTAAACCGGGAGCACAACGGTATTTTCAATTAAAATAGTCTCAAAGTCCAAATAATACATCATTCCCTGGACATTACACTGAAGTGAGATGTCTCTCACTGCTAAGGTTAAAACAAAATTCTCTTCCCAAATGTAAAATCTGCTGGAGAAAATACATTATATTAATGTCAGAATCCCGGTGTAATGAGACAGTGTATAAGTCTGGCCCCCATTCGCTGCAGATCCGTCTGGAATATCAGGAAACAATTTCCCAAAAGTGAATAACATGGCAACCTTAATTCGAGTGCATTCCAGCAGAACTTTGTAAGTAAAAAGACCAGTGTTATTTATAGAGTTGTGGGATATTACAGTTAGTATAAAAATCCTATTAATGAAAGGTAGTCTAAAAAAGGATGGCCCAGGGGCACCTGGCTAGCTCAGTTGGTAGAACAGGCAACTCTTGATCTCAGGGTCATGAGTTTCAAGTCCCACGCTGGATGGAGAGATGACTTTAAAAAAGAAATAGTAAAAAGGATGGCCCAGCCATTCTAGCCTTGGAACACCTTCTCCCCAACTACCTCAGACAATAACCATTTATTCAATTCTTTAAGATCACTGGAGAAAATGGAGAAGAATTAACTAATAGCAAAATTGTTGATGTACTCTTCAAGTATATGTGAAAAATGTTGAAACTAATGAAGTCAGAAGATACAGATACAGCTAAGAAATACCAAAGGCCTAAGTCTGAAAACTCACAGTTTTAGATAATACAGAAACATTTCGAAAAATAAAGAGAATATTCAGCTAGGTAAGATTTAAAATATATTCTTAGAGGGATCCCTGGGTGGCTCAGCAGTTTAGAGCTTGCCTTGGCCCAGTGCGTGATCCTGGAATCCTGGAATTGAGTTCCACATCAGGCTCCCTGCATGGAGCCTGCTTCTCCCTCTGCCTGTGTCTCTGCCTCTCTCTCTCTGTGTCTCTCATGAATAAATAAATAAATAAATCTTTAAAAATAAATAAATAAAATATTTTCTTAGAAATCAGTTTCAGAATGCTGACTATATTTAAACAATAAAAGTATAATTTGGTTCTTATTTACAATTTTAAATATATTCAAACATCATTATTCTTAGTAATCCTCATCTTGTCATCAAATTTTCATCACTAAAGCACAAGGCTGTTGACTTTGTTATATTATATACCCAGTATCTGAGGATCTGAGTATGAAAAACATATTTATAACCACTATTTTTACTATTAGTTATGGAATTACCCCTTAATCTCCCCAGTGTAGATTTGTATTGTGTTCTATACAGAATTAAAAGAGTTTGCGTGTGAAGTATTTCATGGCCAGGTTATGCCAATGGTTGTATATGGTCGACCCTCTGACTGCTCGTACACAAGGCAATAGCAGGTAAAGTTTCACGAATCATACAATTGTTGTTTTTCTTTATTCCAAATGAAAATATGAAATACACTTTATTGGCTATACTTTGCAGTTACAGTTTAAATGACCCATTCTCTAACATGCCTGAGTTTTAAGGTGAATATTACCTTTTGTGTCTTTACATGGTATCAAATTTGAGTGGGATTAGGGGGCATAATGGCATGAAGTCCACCTAGAAATTAAAACAAAAACTAAAAAAATAATAATAATAATAATAATTAATTAAAAAAAAATAAAACAAAAACTAAACCAGCCTTTGGAAACCCTACAGAAAAGTAAGGGTTCTCAAGCATCCTGCCTTCTGAGAACTATGCATTCTGATGTCTCCATATCTCACTCAATTCTCACTCTCTTAAGTTTCCCTTCTTCTAGGAGAACAGATGTTTTATTTTGAAGGTTAAGTATGCAAAGGGATCAGAGAAAATTTAAGATATGGGTATAAGATACAGAGTACACATTATCATCTAATCTCTGTCTCTACCTCATTGTGTAACAAAACCTTCGATATTTTTCAGTGGACAAATTGCTGCCCAGAACTCCCAGCTTCCCATAAAGCCAAGTGTGGCCACAGATAACACCCTGTCCAGTGAGATCTAACTGTGTGTCATTCATGGACTGTGCTTGCCCTGCCCCTTGCTGCTGTGGGGATGCAGTGTCAGGGAAAGACATCTTGGGCTACTAGGACCACAGCAACACCCCGGATGATAGAGCAACAGGGGTCTGAATCCCTCACGGGGTGGAGCCGAGCTGCCAAACCAACTGAGACTTTCAACTGAAAGAGAGAAAATTCTATTTGTTTAAGCCACTCTTACTTCCATATCCTGTCACAGTGCATCAGATGTACATGCTCACTAAGAAAGGATGTCTGAAAGCTAATGCTTCAGAGAAGCACTGATAACAAACAAGATTCTTTGGTCTTCAATCTCCTGTTCATGCTTCTGTTCAATCCCATCTCATAATCCAGGGTGCTAAATGCAGGCACCACCTCTCCCCACCCTCAAAAAAACTCTAGGAGTCAACATTACTATTTATCTGGGAAAAGTTTTCTCTAAAGAAACAGAGTGACCCATGGGTGGCTCAGTGGTTGAGTGTTTGCATTCAGCTAAGGGCGTCATCCTAGAGTCCCGGAATCAAGTCCCACATCAGGATCCCTGCATGGAGCCTGCTTCTCCCTCTGCCTGTATCTCTGCCTCTTTGTGTGTCTCTCATGAATAAATAAATAAAATCTTGAAAAAAAAATAGACAGAAATGCCAATCCTGACATCAGTGAAGAACAAGAGCAAACAAAATAAAAGATGCTAGAAAAATAATGGAGGTCTAGTTCCAAGCTGATGCAGTGAGCTTAGGAGTTGACTTGCTCACGTGACCACTACATACCTGTGTGGCGGTAACTAGCAAACAAGCAAGTAAGGAATGGGGGCAACCCCCAAAACCAAAACTGTAAGTCATAAGCTTCAACCAGTCTTTGGGTTTTCTTTTTCTGAATTGTACAATGAGAGCTGGCTTGGCTATTATAAATCAATCAATCAATCCTTTTCAAAAGCCTCATGTGTAAAAGATAATAAAGGTGATAAGGGTGAAGTAGCAATAATCATTATCATCTAGGAGCCAAACACAGGGAGCCCTCATGGCACCCTGGGCACTGAGGTGCCCATACTGACCATCTCAGTGAAACCTCAAAGGCCAATCACCTAAAATGATGTGACTGCTGTTATATTGGAACCATACTCGAGGCCTTATGCTTCTTCTTTTTTTTTTTTTTTTTTTTTTTTTTTTTTTTTTTTGAGGCCTAAGCTTCTGACAGTGCTTTGCTCACAAGAGCGCTTGCAGAGCATCCATAAAAATTCTCTGGTCAGACTTCCAAACATTTAATGTGGAAAGACAATTGTTAAAAAAAAAAAAAAAAAAGATGCTAAAAACCCTTTGCTTCTTAAAACTCCTTTTTATATCTAGTCACCAGTTTAAAAAGTAGGAAATTATACCAGTTTGACCATCCTATAGTCTTGATGGGTAAAACTAATAAAAAGGGCCAGTGTAGTCTATTTTGAAAGCAAGTTTTTTCCTAGACATTCTATAGGGCAGTATGATTTATGGTAACAGATTTCTGTACCAGTTCTCAGTGGGTGTTTCAATTGAAGATGGCCATTTCTAGGTAATAATGTGGCAATATTTAAGTAGGTTCACTAAAAAGACAATACCTCTAAAAGCTGAGCCATTTAATTCATCCCTGAATCACTATAAAAGGGACTAATGATAGTTACCGAGGCATGGTGACTAATGGGTTGTGCTGTGTCTTTTTGAGAGAGAAAGATGGGGGTTGGTGATACAGCAACAGGAAGGACACAGACCTGGGCAGTAAAAGCCATCATGTTTACCTTGTTCGCTGTGAACAAAGTTTGAGAAGTGTTGTTCTAGATAGAACCAACATTTCATTTCCATGCACGTTTTCCTTGAGACTTTTTCCTTCTTTTGTTCCTACATTCTGTCTGTATGCTTTCAAGAAATCACAAGAAGTCAGTGCCTCCTCATTCAGACAAAAGTAAAACAACAGGCCTGAAGACCGATGTGCTACCCTCACTCCTAACAATGTTAGGGGAGGGGGAAGTGACTGGCAGCTCTGAGACATTTTTACCTTATCGAATGTTTGGACAATGTTCTGGGCCCAAGTGCCATGGAGTCCACCAATTTCAATCACGGTTTAAAAACAAACAAACAAACAAAAACAGACCGGGCAGTTCCACTGACTGGCACAGAGAAGCAGCCAGGATGAGTCTGCAGTGGTTCCTCTGGTGCTTCTTGGAGCACAGTCGGCCATCTCAGTCGGCCAGGCAGTGGGTGCTATACTGGGGTGTCCAGGTCTCAAGGTCCCACACTTCATCAGACTCTTAAAAACTGAATTAGGCTCTGATAGGAAACACAGACTACCCAATGTGCTATATGGCACAAAAATCTTAAGAGTTATAAGTGTTGGAAACAATACTGGTGGAATGTTTTTTAAAAAAAGCAGCATGTAGAGTTTATTATATAATGTGAACTCAATTATGTAAAAATGTGCCAGGAAAAGTTTGGCAGGAACTAGAGCAAAATAGTAAAACTTTCCTCTTCTTGTTAAGAGTAGAGGCACTGGTAGGGGCACCTGGGTGGCTCAGTTGGTTAAGCACCTGACTCTTGGTTTCAACTCAGGTCCTGATTTCAGGGTCCTGGGACTGAGCCCCATAGTGGGCTCCACACTCAGTAAGGAAATCTGTTTGAGGATTCTTTCCCTCTCCCTCTGCCCCTCCCTGTGCTTGCACTCTCTCTAAAATAAATAAATAAAATCTTAAAAAAAAAAAAAAGAGCAGAAGCACTGGTTAACTTCTTTATAGTTTTCTGTATTTCACTCATTTTCTACAATGAGCATGAGGGAAATAATTTTCCCTACAATAAAAAGAGGGGAAGAAATGTTTGGTTATGATAGAGATAACTGGACTCCTGACTAATCTACTTATTATTTTAAAGATTTGTTTATTTATTTGAGAGTGAGCAAGTGCAGGTGCGACAGTGTGTGTGGAGGTGTTGTGTACAGAGGGAGGAGGAGAATCTTAAGCAGACTCTGTACTGAGTGTAGAGCCCAATATGGGGCTTGATCTCACAATCCTGAGGTCACAACCTGAGCTGAAACCCAGATCTGTACGCTTAGCTGACTCTACCACCAGCGCACCCCAGACTAATCTATTTCTTAACATTAAAGGCAATGAAATTGAGATGCCTGGGTGGTTCAGCAGCTGAGCATCTGCCTTCAGCTCAGGGTATGATCCCGATCCAAGGATGGAATCCTGCACTGGGCTCCCTACAGGGAGCCTGCTTCTCCCTCTATGACTCTGACTCTCTTTGACTCTCTCATGAATAAGTAAAATCTTACAAAAAAAAAGCAAAGGCAATGAAATAAATCTGTATTATAGCTCTAATTTATTCACTTAAACTAATTCCTTTAGCTTAGGATTTCTTAGAAAACTCCATCTACTTAGACGACACACTTCTCATCAAGGGTACTTTAGCCAATCGTCCTGCCCTTGCATATAGGTGGCATGACTTGTAAGGTAATAACAGTAAACTTTAAAAACAAACAAAACAACTAGGTCTTGGATGAGCTTAATCAGTGCAACATAAATTATTTCCCTTAAGGTGGTCACTTCAGGAAACCATTCGTTCTTCCACTGGTATTGACATTTCTCAAAGTATTTTTTTTGGAGCTTTCTATGGTGCCGCTCAGGAAAAGCATTCTGTTACTTCAATCATTCCCTATTTTTGAACAAAAATGGTTTTTACCAGTTTGATACCTCACTTACCTGACTTGACTTCAAGTGGGTTTTAGCCTGTCCTAAAAAACAAATCTATTCTCAAAAGATAAAGATCCCCCTAATACTGAGATTAAAAAAATGCCCAGACTTTTTGAAAATAACTCTGAAACAAAGTCTTCCTATCATTTTTTGAGTAATAAGAGCATTCTCATAATACCTAACTGACCTGCCCCCCGCCCCCACGATGACTACCCTGAGGTGGCCACAAAGCCTAGATAGTCTATGGAAATAGACTGATTTCATATTCCAGTAAAAACGAACAAAAGCCATTAGAAGGCATAGGCTTTTCAGTACAACAGAGAAATGAAAAGCCATCAGTAGTTGCTTTGGTCTGGCCAGCAGGAGCAGAGCCCGAGGCTGGATACCCCAGGGGCTCTTTCCTGTAGAACAATGTTCCTAAGAGACGTAACTACACTTTCTTCAATCTCCATTTGCCTTGTTCATCATTTAGCAACACTGGCTTCACATTAGAATCACCTGAGGAGCTTTATAAAAAAATACCAGGTGGCTGGCAACCTGCAGACAATGGAATCTGAATCTCAGAAGATAGATCGTGGGTATATATGTGTGGGTTGTATGTGTGTATAACGTTCATTCTTTTCCTTCCATTGCCCTCTCTCCTGGTTCCCTCTCCTTCCCTGCCCTCCCCCAGGTTCCCAAGTGACTCAGATGCACTGATGCACAATAAAGGGTAGGAACCATGGGCAGCTGGTCCAGATGAAGATCAAGGCTTCTGTCTATGGAGCATGTCTCAGCTAGCTGACAAAGCAACTCACTGCATTTCATCACTTCATACTATGATTCGTAAAAACAAAAATTAAGCAACATTGCTTGGTCCACACATACAGTCCTAGACAATAACATTTTAAAATGGGCAATAAGAAACATACAGTTTCTAATTGACCACATACAAGGTGAAAACACTGGTAAAGGCACAAGTGATAAAACCATATCTGAGCCTAGTCATTAGAGGTGATTCTAGGTTCTTCTTTTGGCGTATCTGTAGATGGGAAATTTTCCACAGTGAGTATGTCTCACCTTTGTGATACCTACTCTTGTGTTGACCTCTTGACTTGAGATAAAGACCACATACCGGCAGTATCTTGGGCAGTCACATCCACGCCATGTGTCACCATGACCCTGAGGCATTCCACATGCCCTTTTGTAGCAGCAAGATGAAAGCTGAAAAAGAGGTAAACACAATCGCCTTAAGCTTTATACTCTTTGGAGTTCATCTTTGTACACTTTCTCTCTCCTGAGCTCCACAACCACCCAGTGAGGAGGTAGTAATAGTAGTAACCTCATTTTAAAAATGAGGAAACTGAGGCTCCAAGTGGATCTGATAATTTGCTCATTGACACTTTTTATTAAGTAATGGAGCAGGAGATAGATCTTAGGTTTTCTTTTAAGATTTTATTTATTCCTGAGAGACACAGAGACATAGACAGAAGGAGAAGTAGGCTTCCTAGGAGAGCCCGATGTGGGATTCAATCCCAGCACCCTGGGATCATGACCTGAGCTAAAGGCAGACACTCAACCACTGAGCCACCCAGGTGCCCCAGATCTTGGGTTTTCCAACCTACTGATCAGGCTTGGAAAAGATTCAATTACATTATTCATCTCTTTAAGAAACAAAGAGAATCCAGGCAGCCTGGGTGGCTCAGTGGTTTTGCGACCCCTTCAGTCCAGGTGGTGATCCTGGAGACCCGGGATCAGGTCCGGCGGGCTCCCTGTGTGGAGCCTGCTTCTCCCTCTCCCTGTGTCTCTGCCTCTTTTTGTCTCTCATGAGTAAATAAATAAAATCTTAAAACAAAAACAAAAACAAGAGAATCCAAATTGGATTCAATTCCTAAATAATAAGTAATTTATCAACTTTTTTCTGTTGTCTAGTGCTTTCACCAAAACCATTATTTTTAAGTAACATACTCTATAAAGAGAAATCTTTATAGATATAAATCAATATTGATTTTTAAAAATATTTTATTTATCCATGAGAGACACAGACAGAGACAGACAGAGACACAGGCAGAGGGAGAAGCAGGCTCCATGCAGGGAGCCCAACATGGGACTTGATCCTTGGTCTCCAGGATCACGCCCTGGGCTGAAGGCGGCGCTAAACCACTGAGCCACCCGGGCTGCCCTCAATATTGATTTTTGATATAAATCAAAAATGGCCATGGTTCTTGGACAACATCAGTGTCAAATCCACTGTTGTGTTGTAGCTAAATAATGGTAGTTGTACACAACTTTTGTTAGTGGCTAGTGTGTGCCAAACGTCCTATTACTCACTTTTACACATTGTCTCTTTTCATTCTCATAGCAGCTCTTTGAGGTGAGTCCAACACTGTGTCCATTAGATGGCAGGTGTCTACTGCACACAGTTAGGTGTAAATAGCATTAAGGAAAGCCCACAATTAGACTCCAGTATTCACTGACACTTAGGAGTTCAAACTATGCTCAGCATGTATATAGACTTGCCATTAAGTGAAGGGATAACATCCAAATGCCATACCAATCATCCCTGCAGAACCCAAGGGTGAAGGGCACTTCTATAGGAAGAAGCAAAGCACAATTCCACCGGGCATTCAGGCCCAGAGGCTGAGAAGGCCAAAACCTTGGGAAGGTCTCCTTCCTACAGAGATAGGTTAATGAGCCTTCCACTTCTTCTCCTGCCTCTCTTCTATTTTGGGGAGTTACTTTCTCAGGCTATTTGCCATGTGCCATCTTAACTGTGAGCTAACACCCAGCTTGTACTTTTTCACAGGACAGGACCTATAACTGGGGGTCAGGGTCACACCCAAATAGCAAATCCAAGACCTATACCAATTCAAACCCAAGTCCTCTTGACCCCACACCTCCGCTCTGAACAACGAGGCTGAGTGAAGGCAGCCAGATCAGCAAATGAGGACACGTCAGGTCCAGCTGCAAATCAGCCATACCGTAGCTATGCATCTTTGGGAAGTAAATTTAATTCTCTGAGCCTGAATTTCCTTCATTGCAAAGTGTGGGGATTGCATCAGACGATATCTGATGTTTCCTCCAGCTCTAACAACCTTCTATTATTTTGGCTTAATTGGCTCTAATCACACCAACTATTTCTGCACTTGTGCAGCAATTTATATGTCATGTTTCCTTACAGCCAAATCTACTTTGTGGGTGATTTCGCATTACAGCCAAACTTTGATCATATGGAGTGACTTGGGAACGTGGTAACTTGTTAGCTCATAACCAGGAATTCCTGGTTAAATACAACCCAACTAAAAGAACTTCCCTAAAAGGCAGTATGGTAATACCTCTGCTTTCAGCTTTGTTGGGCTAACCTAATTTCAAATAAGTCAAGTTCACCTTTTAGCAGCAAATAGTTTAACTGATCTGGCTGGAAAATTTTTTCAGCATTAGTAACAGCGTAAGTTACATAATTTAATTGCCCTTGAGGACATGAAGTCACCAGTAAAAGCCTCAAATATTGATATCTGCCTTCAAGACTATTAATCTAAATGTTCCAGTTTATTAAGCCCTAATATTCATTAATATTTATCTTCTTTTCTTAATGTCTGTGTGTTTGCTCCTAGGATGTTCACTCTGCCATTTCCTATGACCAGGAGAAAGCTAAATCAAAACTATCTGGACAGACAGCCATGTCCTATGCTAAAGATAAAAGTACCAGGATTAGTAAGTAGTGCATGCATGTGCACATGTGCGCACACACACACACACACATACATGCGTATAGATATGTGACTTGTGATTAAAGTACAATACATGTAAAGAAAACTTCAGATACCACAATTATATAGCCTGCTAAATTTTCACAAATGGAACATATCCATTTTATTTTCACATAAGAACATGGCCAGAGACCCAAAAGACCTCCTTCTATCACCTGCACACACTCCAGAAAGCTCTCCATGGGTTCCTTCTAGTTACTAACCACCCCAGTGTATGTGTTATCTGTATTTTTTCTACTCTGAGGCTTCTTTGAGTGTATCTGGATTGCACACTCTATTTATAGGGGGTTGAAATTGTAGACACAGATAAGGAAGCATTATTATAAGTTACAACTGTGCATTGATAGGTGGAGTCTGATGAATGCAGCATCCTAGTCTATGGATATAGGGTTTCAGGATCATTCTTTAGAAGGTTAATAAGAATTGTAGCAATAATTATAACAAGGAGGTATTAGGAAATTGGGCTCAAAATCCAATCATATGATAGAAACTTTCTTAGACATTTCTTTTTAAAATAAAAGCCTTTATGTCAACCCAAATCAACCCATCTTTGATGGCTGTAACACATTTCATTGAGGGATCTGTTAATTATGGTTTCACTGCATATGATTTAATAAATTGTGTGTGTGTGGCTTCATTTTACCCTCTCATTACAGTTTAGACCAGGGTGTGACTTTTCCCCTCTATTCTGGGAACTTTCCATCTCTTCTCCTGCAGAATATTGTGTCCTACTGAGAAAATGGAACAATGATAGTCCTTTCACAATTTTATCCTATATATTTGACCTAACATTTTAGCACTTACCATTCTTACAGGTAAAATGAACAAAGTGCAAATAATTAGAAGTAGATTATATGAGGAAAAATACTCATGCTTGTAATTTTATACTGCATAATGTTTTTAGCTAGTAAAATCATTCTTAATTGATGCAATTCAGTTAAATATATCATGATTTCAAGGTGTTTTATCAAAGAAAAGGGAGGAGCATGAAAAGCAGAAAAAGGAAGAGTTGATCATTTTAACCAGAAATTTCTAATTCATTTTTCCAGACAGACGAGGAATTCCACTATGTATCATCATTCCAAGTATGTATTTCCAGGAAATGCGAGTGAAGCCAAGAAACACGACATGTAAGTTTGCTTTCAGGGAATATTTACTAATGCTGTGCATCATCTGTCTGCCCCTCCAGATTTTCCCTCCACCTTTATCCCCTGGGTCAGTGCCCCTGGAAGCAAACCTTTTATGGACTACATCCAATGGGCTGCTTTATCCTCTGGCTTCTGGCTGAGTTCCACCAATGGGAGAGAATTACAAGACACAGGAGGATGAGAAGAAAGAGATCAGGGCATCATCCCCTCTACTCCTTCCCTGCTAGGCCACACACTGGCTGTCTCAGCCTTCCTCTACTTCCTCTATGAAGTTCACAGCTCTGGGGGCCAGTACCCAAAGCTATAGCTGCAGCTCTCTCTAGGTTTTGGTAACTGCGCTCTCTGTATGTCCCTTCAGGTTGTGGGGGTGCAGGAAGAAGGGGAGAGAATGTTGAAACAGATTCCCACTGTTACTAGCCCAGGCCTGCTTTCCTAATCCTGCTGGTTTAGTTCTGACCACAGATTTGTAAATAGTTCCTCTTTTAAAGGGTCACCGATGATCCTATCTGAGGGTGCTGGTTCCTGCTGGGACCTTGTATGACACCAGTGACAATCAGGGTATTATTCTGTGTGTGATCATCCACAGGATGAACTGCTAGGGTCCTGTGGGTATTTAAGTATTTATTTATAAGGGCAAATTTGGGCTTTTTTAAAAAAATTCTCCCCACATGTAATTGAGTTAACCACTTAAGATATTTGGGCGTTTTGGCTAAAATGTTTTGATGAGAGAATAAGCCAAATCACTTTAATTATACAGAATATGGTATGAGACTTCAAATTAGTTTTCTGATATACTGTTAGGCCAAAGTAGGAGTCGGTGTAAAAAGGTTCAAGGTTACACCCCTCAAAGCATCAGAAAAACAATGGTCCTACATGAAAGCTGCATGTAGTCTAGAATACCCCACAGTGCAATGAAGGAATGCTAAAATTCAGATTTTAAATGGGATTTGGTCTTGGAATAGGTTCTTCGGTAGAGAACTGGAAGTAAAAGAACGTTTAGTAAAATCTTCAATACCACATGCTATATTCTATATTCTATATATGTGTATAGCATACATACTATACATTACTCTATACAACATATACTAACGATATACACTATTATAAAATAATCTGTAGGTTATTAGATCTTAGAAAGAGGAAATATAACCATCAAGACATGTAAGGGACGTCTGGGTGGCTCAGTGGTTGAGCATCTGCCTTTGGCTCAGGTCATGATCCTGGGGTCCTGGGATCGGGTCCCACATCGGGGTCCCTGCATGGAGCCTGCTTCTCCCTCTGCCTACAGTAAATAAATTAAATCTTA